CCAGTATTCGCTTCTTACTACTTGATTACTCACTATTCGCTGACCACCGGTCTGCAACGCACGGGAAAGGTGCTGCCATTCATTTCTTGATCCTTCGTGAATGCTCTCCTCGCAAAACTGTTGACGATCACTTCCCCTCTCATCACCGCGAGCACAGAAAGCAACGTCCTTCCATCGGTATTTTCCATACAGGACTCATACATGCATATCCTCTTGTGGCTTCCTGCGACGACCAAGTTTTCTCACGCCGCACGGTCATCCCATTTCGAAATTTTCCGTTCAGGGCGAGCAGATCCGAAGCATCTGAATGCGCACATGAGAACATGCATTTCTATCACATGGCACGCCTGTCGTTCGAAAATGACGATGGTCATAACTTTCCAGGGCTATCCAGTTGCACTCGCACGCCCCTGGCCTGCCCGTGCCTTTTTTCCGGCTGACCACCATGAGAGCACATTGAGTTCTTCCCATTATCAACATGTGCCATTCTGGCTGCATGCAAGACACAGCGCACTGACCAAGGCCAAGCGTTCTCAAGTATCTGATATGCACCTAATAAATTGCGCTTGTGCTCGTAAAAAGGTACGTTGCAATTTCACTTTCGGTTCGGTTACGTTTCTAGCCAGCCCCTCTCCTACAATTTACATCGGGCTTTTATTCGTAAATTATGCCAAGCTATGCCACACTATAGATGCAAACAATGATCTAGGTTCTTGGGAACGCTGCTGATCACTAAAGACTGTGAAAGAGCAGTCCAGCTCGACCCACCGGAAGAACATTTTGGTGTGCTGTAGTGGCAAAGCCGGTACTCCTACTCCCCTTGACTGGGAGCACTGAGGTCGAACTACACTGAGAGCTCTTTTCAGAGCTCAACGACACATTTGTTTCTTGATTCAAACCTTTCAAAATCAACAGCATTGTAAAGCAAGCCCCAAGGACCCCGTAAATGCCGAGGCTGAGAGCCCCACATTGATGCGAGCGCTTGAGCATTGATTGTAGCTTGACGCTTTGTGCAGAGGCCGAGCTTGGAAAATGCGGTTCGCTAGATATATAACCACGCTTGACAGTCTGCGCTGGTCGTCGCGTCGCGCTCGCTGTGGTTGCTTTCGACCAGATCCATCCACGCGCTCCTCGCTCCATCATTCCAATGCCGATGTACCTTTCTTGCATCATTGGCTCTTTGCTATTTGATTTGCATGACCTCACGATGTTGAATGTATCGATCTATTGTTCAGGGCGTAAATTTCAATACAAATGCCCCAGATCCTGTCGCGAGATTGAAGCACAGCTTTGGCGTGGAAGTGGTACGGATGATGTGCACAAAGCCTGCCAGATGTTTGCCGTACTCCTCGGAGCACGGCCCTGGGCGCTGAGCACCGACCGCAAATATTCTCGTTCTCGTACATGATAGCCCTTTCAGAGAAATGCTCTCTATACGAGTGCTGCTTCGTACTTGATGAGAAAGGCCATCGCAAATGAGTGAATTGTGCCGATTTTGGATAACCGGTATCGGCTCAAAGATGTCCCCAGGAGGCGGTATTATGGCGTTGTTGACCCAGAGTTTCGGCAAGTGGCTGGAACTGACTCAAAAAACGCTATGAGTGGGGTGTTTAAAGCTCCACGGATCAAAGTCTGTATCGTCAAGTCGAGCAGAGGTGCCAAGACAATGACGATGGGGCACATTGTGACGGCGAGTCGCCCAGTGATACAGCATTAATGCGCTCATAGAAGATAGCTTTGTTTGGGTACATGGTGTTGCCCCTGCATTCAAGCTAGTGACTCGGAGTAAGCTCAGGCAAAAATATGAAGAAAAGGGTGAACTGTATCGAAGGGGAAGTTGTAGGTACGAATGAAAGTGACAGGGTGCTGATAGCGGGAAGCTTGCAGGGGACTTTGGCGTGCCAGCCAAACGAAATGAGCTGGAAATTGGGAGGTAGGAAACGCTGCGAAAGGGAAGAGGCAATGGAACACAAATGTGCTTTCACATATTCGCTTGTATTACATTGCATACCTTGCCTAGCCCCGCTTGCGAAGTGCAAAGGCCTGCATGACCATGCAGTATGTAAGAAAAATTCTCTGAAACTCCGATCTTCCAGCCTCTAGCCTTTTTCCCCATTATTATTTCGATCGCGTCATATTCCATTGCATTTCCGGGGATTCTTGCGATATCGAATTCTCTCTCGATCTTCGTTAATGCGATTTTGATGAGCTTCGTCCTGGATGCACACTTTGTCTCCTAACAGAGCATCCACATCTACTCAGTTGCCATATGTCAGGTTTCGTGAGCAACGGCCAGTAAACAGGTCTCGCACAAGGAAGACTGCGTTTCAAAATTCACTGAGAGAACTCGGTCATGGCAGGCTGAGAGGATTGACCTTTAATATATATGGCCTCACATCACAGAAACTGTTTGTATGCATTCTTCTGCAGAAATGTGAACCACTGTCAATATACTGGAGTACTCAAATTGTTGCTAGGGTCTACGTAATCACAAAGCTACCAATCAAATTAATAACTCGGGGTCTTGAAATAAGGTTTCCCGAAGCTATGAACAAAAAAGGAATGGGTCCTTCTTGAAAACGGCGAAACTTCCCTGTTGAGGAATCCAATATTTATGAATTGTGTAAGTGTATTCCATGTTTCAGCATACTTCACATTTTAATTTTCAATATTTTAGGTCCATTGTCCATAGTTCATCGGTCGTCTTTAATCGGCTGGATAGTAAGAGGCTGTGAGCTATATTACTTTGACTAGTCCCTTCGGGGGGCTGGCCTGCGCTGCCTGCTGGCGCCAGATTAGCTGAGACGAGGGAATCGCTGCGACCAGCACCAGCACCACCACGCAGCTGCAGCTTGCTAGTGCTACTGCCTGCTGCAACTTTCAATTGTACACAGCTCCATATGTGGGTGGCATATTTGCATCTTACCCTTTTATGTATACATATATTTGTATCCTGGAATCTGATCTGAAACTTGTGGATCCTGGAGTCTACACCAGTCTGCACTCTAACATTTCGTCTTCGTAAATGTTAACTGAAGGCCATTGGTCTTTGGTGCATACCTTGAATCCGTGATACAGCGGATGACAACATCAACCATTCTGCCTATTCGTAATAGTCCTTGTCCACAAACCGCTCTAACACCATTTTAAATAAGAAACAATCAACCTCTTCGGTTAACCCTGCGGTCTCCATAGCTCTCACCTTCTCCCACCACGGCCTCCCACGGTCTGTCGAGGGACGAATTACCTGAATAGGTGGTGGTTGACTACACCATAGCCGCTTGTCCTGGCATTAGAGTTGGTCCGGAAACCTGACAAATACCGAGTCCCGAAATGCGAAGCTTCCGGGAACCTCATAAAGTCATTCTGGGGAGCGGCTACTGGAAATTAAGCTCCGGAAACAGTCTGTATGATCACTACATACTTTACTAGCAAAGTTGGAGAATTGTTGGTCTGCTTCATTATACCTTCAAAGCACGGATGTGAGGGGGTTCCACGGTCGGCACCAGTCTGGAAACTGCCTTTCTGGGTCACGGAAACCCCCGGATTGATTTGGCCGGCGATCCTGACCCGGTCACTTTCCGTACCGTTTTTGGGTCCTTTTTGGCTCCCGGAATTCTGGAGGTTCCGTTGGATGCCCACAGTTTCTCGGCCAGCTTTACCTGCAGTAGATCATGGCATTGAACCTTCGTGCGAGTCTCGCAAGAGCATGCACATATGGAACACCTTCATTTTCCTGACTTCCGGGACTCGCTCCAGAGGTTATTGGTCTTGCTTGATGCTCAGGCCATGTAATGCCTTCATCAAGTCATGCAACGTCCCGCCGAAGGAGGCCAGCTCTTCACCAACGGTGAGCCTGCTCTGGTCCTCCTGCGCTTGTCCGATATCTTCATCGGTTTCAAGGGGCTCGCCTTGTTGAAGGCGCCTCAATAGCTGTAAATCAGACAGCTCTTCTCCGGCAGATTTGACTGGAGGGCAGGTCGGTGGTTCTTATTCATCCATAGTTATAAGCTTGTACTTCAATTGTCATCGGTGTCCACCATGTGTGACGCGGAGGACGGAGTCGGCAACTCTGTACGACCAATACCAAAGCCGAAGAACAGTGTTGAGACTGTCGTCTAGCCACAGAAGGTGAAAACTAGGATGGGACTACACAGGAGTAATGCTCGTGCAAGGAACTGAAAGATATACTCTGAGACTACCACATCTTTGGTACGTGTGGATGAATATCTCTCCACCGCGCTATGCTCCACTTTTCCTCATGTGACTCATCTGTTTCCTTGATATGCCTGGTTGCCGACTCGAACAGTGAATCAAAACGAGTAAATGCTACATGGACAGAAGTCTAAGGCCTGAAGTTGGCGGATCTGGAGGCAGGAGGGTGCGTTCTTACATACCTGCTTCCCACGATCTCCCAAGTCCCAGACTAACCCAGAATCCAGAGGAATCCTCCTCTCCTCCTGCCCTTGGGTCTGGTGTCTGAGAAGTTCTATAGCCAACCAGCGTCCCTGGTTCTGGCACAGCAGCTGAGCAGACCCACAGAATAATCATCTGAGTCCCACAGTGGCCAGAAGCCAAAAACTCCCGGGACCCCGAAACAGTCGACATATTCTGGAAATCATACATATGTAATATGCAAAACAGAATGTTGGCGCCTGGCTCTTACATACGAATGTAGATGATAAGATTGCTCTGGTCTTCCCTACAAGAGGCCAGTAGGCGCGCGCTCTGGCGCGCGCGGATACATATGGCGTATTTGCACCCAGGAGCATGGGAGCCTGGAGTTCACTTCCTGGCTCGCCTGGTGCTGCTACCATGCTGCTGAATAACAGTCAATTATATCTAAGAGTCCAAGGGGTTAAGCGTCAAATCTAGATAAAAACACCCAAAGCAGGCCTCTAATGAGCACTTTTTTGCGTGTTGGCGGTTGCATGTTAGTTTGTGGCTTTTGTTTCCTGATTAGTTGCCAAGAAAGCGAACGGGGAAACCCCTCGATTGGTGTTCCAGAACAGGCCAGGCATCAGGCCAGTGGCCACAGCACTGTCGTAGCCTGCCGCACAGGTTTGTATATGCCCCATATTAGTACACCTTTAATGTAATTATCTGGCCGCAAATGACGAGCTTACGAGCCTGTTGTGAACTCTGGTTCGTCGTTGTCGGCCCAGCCGCCCCGATCATCGGCTCTCAGCAAGCATTTGCTGCTGTGCGAAGGCGGAGGAGCCACGCCGTTTTTGCGCGGAGCGCGACTAATGACTATTTGACTATCGAATATCACTATTGGCCGTCTGGTGCCTGATGCCTTATGCTTGAAGAGGATGCCTAAAATCTAAATGAACGACTTACGTGACATGATCTCACGCCACATGCAATGTATAGACAGTTAGGTATCATCATTACAAGAACTACGAGGCTTGTAACTTGCATCCTGGCTCTGAGATGGCCGTTCGCACAAGTGGAGACGCGGCGCTTTTAGCGAACTAATCGCGGGAGTCAGACAACCACCTGGACTCTGGTAATTCGGTGATACTCCTAGTAAAAGTTTACATTCAGGGAGAGGTTACTGGATAGGTGGTTCTGACTGCCGGTGTTTTATAAAATGGAAGTCTCTGCAGAGCAAAATATTGTAAATTGGAGGAAATATAACAGAATTGATCTACAGATCTCGCGGAACTCTCTGCAACAGCCGAGACGCACTGTGATTTTGGTACATTTACACTCCGCTCGGCCCAACATGCACGAGCGTGTTCATGAGGCAGGCTGCTTTCTGCCGCTGCTTCCGCCTTGAGCCTTGTTGCAATTTGACGGGAGAGTGCAGTGCTCGTAAAAGCTCGTATGAGAGGTTCGTGCGCGTTCACACGCGCCACCACGCTTCCCCCGCTCGCTCATAACCTTCTCAAACAATCGCAGTATCTCCAGTATCTCAGGTACAGAGCCTACTGAGTGTCGGAAGTGTCCAGTGTTTGGAGGTCTGGATGTTTTCATGCTTCCCATTGCCTTCAAACTCTCTTACTAAACGATTCCGTTACTGAATGAAGACCAGGCGACAAATCAGCATGGGGCTTGTGGGAGTTTAGTGAGGGCTGTGCATGGCGCTCTTGACTGATGCCCCAGACAACCGCGTTGTATCTTCCACCTATTGGAACCGCGACGCCACTAACATTGACACTGGTCGGACACCCATCTACTCTTCTGAACGTCATTAACCACCGACCAAATCTGTTCGAGACTGCACCTCCTTCTTGGATGGGCAAGCTCGCAACGGGGTAATCACAGCCTCGCAAATTTCCCACTCGGCACCTCGTAAAGTCGACCCTCTGTCCCTGCGCTGCCCTGACAGACAACTCAACCTGACATCTTTGTGGCGTCTCTCATCGCTCAATGCGCATCAATCATCTTCTCGCCGCATTTCCAACATCAACAGCACATGCATACACGTTCTTGTCTCCGAGACTCCAGCAGTGTACCATCAGAGCTACCTCACCAAGAATTCGCGGGCATCCTGCCGCGCTCACCTCTGTTGGTCCTTCGTCCAACTTTAAAGCATATCGATGAGGCACCGACGCGCTACCAACTTGCCTCCAAACGCGTTTGTCATTTAGCATACAGAGCTCTGTCAGCCTGCTGATGAGCTGACAGCTTTCCGGCATCGATTCTGAAGTGCATTTACCCAGCATCCGTGACGGCACTGCTTTCGATGTTCTTTTATGTATAGCCTACGTTCACCACCAAGCCTCCCGCATCATATGCATTCATCAGTTCATTGGCTACACTACGACTCGAAAATCAACAATTACCTGCTCGCGACCACATGCGGCAGCCGTCATATTCATGATCCCACCCCTTTGACCGGACATAGCATGCTCCATCTCTGAGCACGCAGGCAAGTATCCTCGCTGTGACCCACCAGAGCGCTACAACTGGTCGATCCATCGCACAATTTCAGCATGTTCCAATCAAGCACTTCAATTCCCCACACCGTGGGGCCACCACGACTCAAGCTTGTTGGCCGTTCGGTATCGGACTTCTCACCCGTGTGCGAAAGCGACGAATGGAAAGAGTCAGCGGCCAGTGCACAGCGCGCGCACGTCGGCGGCATCAAGGTCGTCAGTGGCGGTAAGCTCGTCACTGGTGGGTTTGCTCCCTTTTCTCCATTCTTGCCACTGCCACCACCACCTACCATGGACGAAGTCACCCGGCACTTCTCTCGCACCCAGAATACTGCCACTAGATGTAGCTCACGGTCATCATATGCACGAGAGTTGGACAGTACTCCAAGGGGCAAGACCTGTGTCGACGGTGGGTTGAGCAGCGGAAACACGGTCCAGCGGCCTCACACACCAGAGGACTACCGTAGCGATCAGAAGGAGGACTTGGAACGACCAAGCAGCCCTTCTAAGCATCAAAGAATGATTGCCGAACAGCATGAGAAGCCTAACTCTGCCGCCATGTCACCAGCGTCGTCCGGTTCATCGTCCAACACCGTCACGCTGCCCGCATGCGAGGATGTCAATACATTGGCCGCTGCGTCTAGCTCAAGCGTCCACACAAGATACCCCCGCGGATCCGATATGGCAACGCGCACGCAGCCGCGGTCCGCTTGCATGCTCAGAAGGTGAGGGCTCTTACTATTGAACCTTTGAATTCTACCATTGGAAAGCGGAGCTCACATCGCCAAACCTCGCCCCTTATTCTTAGCTTCTCTGTTCCTGTTGCGACGCAAGCTGAGTTCGATCACCAGAGTCGGCTCATGTCCTGGGGCTCTACCGCACTTTACGATCACAACTCCTCCTTTTGGGCTGCGGGCTGGCCCTCATCGGCGTCACCCTTTGGTGGACTTGCGCCAGCCATTGATGCCAATAACGGACGTGTCATGGCCCGAAGAGCGTCACAGATCAGCCCAGATGACCTTGCATCCGTGCCATCCGCGGTACATGTAATCTCATCATCTGGGAAGAGGCCACAGCTGCATGAGCCTGTGTTCATCACCAATACGTCGCCACAACAGAATGCACCTCTTGCTTCCCCAAGACAAGTGCTTGCTTCTATCACGAATTCGCCAAGGACCAACGAGGCAAGCGCCCGCGGCAACCTCAACGACGAGCCCTTTTACGTCAGCGACAGCACGATCCAGGACAGCCCTAGTGCCTTAGCACTCAGCGTCGCAGCCGTCTGCAAGCTCAATGATGAGTCGGCTGACGGCGAAAAAGATCTCGAAGCCAGCGGGAACATTAATCACCAGGGCTTTTACTCTTTGCTAATGCCGGGACTTTCGCCTGACGGTAATAGCGACCACAGCGGAAGGGGCAGTCACAGTAGCTACACTTCGGATGACACTGAGGACGCAGGCGCACGTACACCGCGCGTGTCGCCCACGGTTCACTCTAAAACTGCTTCCTATTTCGGAAGCTCTCAGTCATCCACCACGCACGATCAGCTCCCCCCAATGCAGACCGACGCGTTTGTCAGCGATAAGCACGACTCGGACCCTGGCCAGGGATCCCTGAATTGGGCCACATTCATCCACCCGGACCACATGCTATGACACGATTCTTTCTTCAATCACTCATCTACCCATTACCCAACATCCAGTCAGCATTCAATCTTGTTTCACTTATCGCGTATTCCGCTCAGATATCCGGCAAGTTGCGAAGGCTACCCCATCTCATTACCATGGCGCCGCTGCATTGGAGAACTAGAATGCGCATACCTGTTTCACGTCGCTTTTCAAGCGTTTACCGGCTCATTTGTACTAATAGGTAACTCTCTTCACTTTGTCGCGACGGCTCACCAAATGCCTATGTATTGTGCACACTCTTCAAGAATCTGACCAATAAATTTTCATATGTGAAAGCAAATGGGGCAAATGCGGAGGGAGATGCAGTCAGGAAATGCCTGTTCGATACGTTTTGGAGTGGTGAATGCAATTTCTCGTCCTCTTCTCTCTTCTATCACCTATTCGTACGCCGTACGCAGCCCTTCTGACTTGTGCGCTTAGAAGCCCATACCGCCCATTCCGCCCATTCCGCCCATGCCAGGCATACCGCCCGCCGGTCCCTTCTCCTCTGGAGCCTCAGTGATGCAGACGTTGGTGGTGAACAGCAGCGACGAGACACCAGCCGCGTCTTGAAGACTGGTGCGGATGACCTTGAGCGGGTCGAGAATACCGTTCGCGATCATGTCCTTGAACTCGCCAGCTTGCGCGTCGTACCCGTATGCGAAGTTGTCCATGTGGCTCTCCAATAGCCGGCCGACAACGACGGAGCCTTCCTCACCGGCGTTCTCGACGATTTGTCGGCACGGGCGGGTGAGGGCAGCCTTGATGATGGAAACACCGAGCTGTTGGTCGAAGTTGGCCGTCTTCACATCCTTCAGGGCCTGGGTTGCCTTGAGCAGCGCAGTGCCACCACCCGGCACGACACCCTCCTCGACCGCCGCACGCGTCGCGTTGAGTGCGTCGTCGTATCTGTCTTTCTTCTCGCCCACTTCGACTTCCGAAGAGCCACCGACCTTGATGACAGCGACACCACCGCTGAGCTTGGCAAGGCGCTCCTGCAGCTTGGTCCGGTCGTATTCAGATGTAGACGCGTCATTGATGGCCGAACGGATCTGCTCGCAGCGGTTGGTGATAGCAGACTTGTCGCCATCGCCATTGAGGAAGATGGTGTCCTCTTTGGTAATGGTGACCGAGCCCGTGCTGCCAAGCATGTCAGGAGTCGCCCGGTCGAGCTTGATGTCGAGCTCGTCCGAGAAGACGGTGGCGCCAGTAAGGATGCCGAGGTCGCCGAGGATGCTCTTGCGGTTGTCACCAAAGCCCGGCGCCTTGACTGCACAGACCTGCAGCTGGCCACGGAGCTTGTTGAGGATGCAGGCGGCAAGAGCCTCGCCATCAATGTCCTCAGCGATGATCAAAAGTGGGCGCCTGCCCTGAGCAGCAGCCTCAAGCGAGGGAAGGATATCCTGCAGCAGTGTGATCTTCTTCTCGGACAACAGCACGAGTGGCTTCTCGAACTCGCATTTCTGTGTCTTGACGTCGGTGATAAAGTAAGGGGAGATGAAACCACGGTCGAAGCGCATGCCCTCGGTGATCTCGATCTCGTCCTCCAAGGTCCTGCCCTCCTTGACTGTGATCACACCCTCCTTGCCTACTTTCTCCATGGCGGTTGCGATGAGCTCTCCGACGTGCTTGTCACCATTCGCCGAAATGGTAGCGACCTGAGCAATCTCCTCGCTCGTGGTCACTGGCCGCTTGTTCTTCTCTAGGAACTGGACCACAGCCTCGACGGCAGCCTGGCTGCCCCGACGGAGGTCCATCGGGTTGCAACCAGCAGCGACGTTCTTGACGCCTTCCGCGTAGATGGCGCGTGCCAAAACGGTGGCAGCAGTGGTTCCGTCACCAGCAATCTCGTTGGTCTTGTTGGCGACGTCTTGGACGAGTCGTGCGCCGAGGTTCTCAAACTTGTCTTTGAGCGAGATGGCCTTGGCAACAGTCACACCGTCTGCAAGTGGGAATGGCAGTGAGGTTTGGGGGCCAGAGCACGCTGGAGATGATATTCTTTCAACTCACCCTTGGTGATTTTTGGCCCGCCGAATGCCTGTTCGATGATAACGTTGCGCCCTGACACGCAAGGAGGTGGCATGGCATCAGCTACCGCCACAGACAGCGCATGGCCGGCCTTGTTCAGGCGCATGCATTTAGCACTCACCCTTGGGACCCATGGTCACGCTGACAGCATCAGCCAGCAGGTTGACGCCCCTGAGCATCTGTGCACGGCCCTCATCGCCGAACTTGACTTCCTTGTGTGCAAGTGCAGCTGGAGTCGAAGAGAATGAGCGCGAGACGGCAGCCTGGAGGCCCGATCGGGCCGCAGCGGGCTTGGATGCTGTGCGAAGAAGAGACATTTCGATCGGAACTCTGTTGATACAGTTGAAAGCGGATGTTCGCCGTCCTCTGTGCGTTACTGTGACTGCTCCAGCGAGGAAGTATATGATGAGGAGAGCTACGATACATAAGAAGGATGGAGTGAAGGGGGGAGGGGGTGATCGGCAGTGCGTAGAGGCTTCCAACAGTAGCTAACAGCGAGCCTCCTCCCGCCCTCAACTTTTTTTCTTTCGGCGTTCCGCGACCTTCCATAGCCGGCCGGTACCGATGGAAAGCGCTCACTCCTTCAGCATATGAAGCTCGCAAGGCTGACAATGTCCATGCTTCTAAACCTCCTCAACACAACCTGCAACTTCATCCACTCAGCTAGAGAGAAACATCAAACCCCGTGTCAAAATTGATTTGCATTGTATCTCGGAAACCCGATTGTAACAATGGTGAGTGCGAACGGCGTGTGCCTGATCTCTGTCGAGTGTCAACCGGACCGCTAACGATGCAACCTGCCACGTCCGCTGCATTGTGGAATGCCCGACTGTGTCGCTGATCTGTTGCTTAGGCGAGCCAATCTACTATCCGGTCCATCAAGAGCGTCATTCCTCTGCTGGACCGTGTGCTAGTGCAGCGCTTCAAGCCAGAGGCAAAGACTGCGTCAGGCCTCTTCCTCCCTTCTTCGTCGACCACCTCGCCGCTACCGGAAGCGCACGTCATCGCAGCAGGGCCAGGCGCGCTCGACAAGGACGGAAAGACGATCCCGATGCAGGTCAAGGCTGGCGACAAGGTTCTGCTCCCGGGGTGGGGTGGCAGCGCGATCAAAGTAGGGGAGGAGGTGAGTCGGCGAGAAAGACTGCTATCTTCCGTGTCATCGCTACGTGGAGTGTCTAACGCCTTGTCTGGATGACAGGAGTACCTTCTGATTAAGGACAGCGAAATTCTGGCCAAGCTGAATGAGTAGAAAAGTTCTAGGAGGGTATGGCGAGCCTGAAGAGTGCCAAGGTAGCACGGGTAACCTCGCTTTGGACGTACCCTCTCCAGCAGACATCACATCAACCAAATGTATCATTTAGTGTGCAAGTCACCAGGAATGATGCTTCACCGCTCCTATAGATTGCATGTTTGCCCATAGCGTCCTAATGCAAGCGGATCAGATACAGTAATCATTGCTTGTCATCCTAGTCATACAGTTGCGTGAGCCGGGAGCACTGAGCTTCACTCCAAGTGTGAATCAGACCCTATACCGCTTTGTGCTGCTCGTGTTGAAGAGGAAGCGCACGACAAGCACCTGAGCGACGGACATGGAGATGATGACGAGCGATTCCACGATCGAGTACCAGAAGATTCGCGATCTGTGCAAGGGAAATGGCGTGGAAAATCACAGAGCATGTCAGCCTTCCTCAAAGTTAAATGAGCAGACGCCTGTTTGCTTGACACGCACTGTGTGCTGACAACGGTATCGTAGTTCCTGTTTTCTCGTGTTCGGAAGAATCGTTGGGTCCGAGCAATGCTGGTCAGTTCGGAACCAATCTTGGTGATGGACTCTTCGAGTGGCGCCGAGTGATCAGAGAGCAGCTGCGTCTGCGAAAGAGGCATTTCCAGGCGCGGCTCGGACTCGACAGTGATGTCGAAGTCGATCTGAGCGTCGTCGCAGAATGGATGAATGTTCCCTTGAATCAGTAAAGATAGTCCGATCGAGACATCCATAACGATGCATGCAAGCAACTCACAAGCTTCTCCGCATAGCTCGTGTAGTCGTTGTGGAAGCAGAAGACGTATTCTCCAACAGTATTGCCCGTGAAGATGATATCAACTTGTCGCTCCTTGTGTCCATCGATAATGAGCTTGTCATTCGGGTCATGCACCGAGTAGGCGACCTCAAAGTTGCCTCCGGACTGGACGGCAAAATAGAAGCCAACTTTCTCACCCACTTGGTCGACCCATGCGTAGTAGCACGACTTTTCGTGCGGCTCGAGGATCGCAGTCAGCGCCGCCGCTGATACGCTGGGTGGCAGCGCGCACAGTGCGATGAGCAGTGCTGCCAGCAGGCACGTGAATGATCGGAAGAACATCCTGAGGCGTGCAATAGCGACTTGGCAACCGCGAGCGCCAGGTGGATGCGGGGGAGATGTAGTGGATGCCGACAGCCCTTGACCACGGAAGGTGCACGAGACCGGCTCGAACCCCTTTGCTTTGCACCTTGCAGCCGAGGGAGAGAAGCTTCAGAGAGGAGCCAATATGGGTGGATGGAGATTGGGTGTGTGCAACTTAACCGTGTAGAAAGGAAGGAGATGCTTGTGACAGACAAGCTCGCCGCTCGGCAGAAAGTGTGCCCATTACGTTGCTTTGTCTCGAGCCCTCGCGCGGAGCAAGCATCCCTCTCGTGCCCCTTCACTACGTATGTTTGCACGCTTCCTAGAGTCTCTGGAGGAGCCACACGAGCCTTTGCAGTTGTGCGGTATGCTGTGCTACGTGACGGAACACCCACAGGTGTCCCATTGCCCACAAACCACAGTACACCGGCGTTAGGCTTGGGGCCTGCAAGCAGCCGTTTGCTGGCCCAGGAGGCCACAGGAGCAGTGGGGTTTCAGCTTTTCGCCAAAGCTTGAGGCACTGGCTGCGCCCGCTCGCTGAGAAATCGGCGCAGCCTGCTGTGGAACGGTGGGCAGAGAGACTGGTCCAGAAACCCCTGGAATTCCAACACGGCCTGCCATGAACACGGATCTGGCTTTCATGATGCCTGCAATATGCTCTTGGGCAGGTCACCTGATCGGATGCACTAGCCCTATGAAACCATCGCGGGTTGTCCTAGGTCACAATTCCAACAGTCTTCTACAGTTCAATCAGATTGGCCTCACCGCCGCATCGCCTCTCTCATCCAACCTCCCTGCTTCAAAAACCACGAAGCGGCAGCAGAAACCACCCTGCTCACGATTCGCTTCTTTGTGCAGCTGAGATCACGACAGCTCTTGTTCGTATTCACAACGATTTCCAGAGCGAGTCCCTTTCGAGATTGGGCTTTTTCTTCCTCTGGCCATGAGACGACCACGGGTTGATCGACACTGATCGATTCCGTGATGTTGGTGCTGTCGACTTACTTCTGGCTCGATTTCGAGCATGAGGCCCTCCCACTTTGACGGACCGGAATCTGATACATGTAAGTTATGAAGTTCAAGATCAAAGAGAAACAGAAGGAGCAACCTGTCACGGAGAGGGAAATTATACTACATCGGTTAAAGTTTATTTCGTTTATTTGTTCGTGCCAGCAATACCACGCCCAACTGATTCATTTACAACATTACCACTGCGGCACGCAGTTTGATCGGAATAAAGCTCAGATACCGCCCACAGAGCCCTGCTGTGACTCGTATGCGTTGACGAACGCCTCGACTCCCTGGAAAAATTGCCTGAACTGACCAAAGTTGTTGCCTTCAAGCATGTAGTTGCGCGTCTCGTTCATGATAACTGCTGAGCGCTGCAGGAGGTGCATGCAGTGGTTGTATGAGTCGCTGTTGGCGTTGCTGCTGGCAGCAGGGATGAAGTTCGGCATCCCAGGCTTGAAGCCACCTGCGCCGTAACCAAAGCCGCGAACACTGGGCATGAAGCCTGAGACGGGCGATCCCCCGATCAGCCTGGAGGGGCCAGTGGCGGCTGCAGCGGCAACGGCAGCCATGGAGATGGAAGGGTCATTCCCAACGCTGGCCTGGACATCACGCTCGTCGTAGTCGTCCGAGTCGTCATCGTCGCCACCAGACTTAGCGGAAGACTTGCCCTTGCCCTTCTTGCCGCCAGCGGGGGGCGGGGCAATGGCCGACTTGTGCCATTCGCTGTGGGCAAGCTCAAGTTCAAAGTTGCGGCTAGCAAAGTAGATGCGAATGGTCAAGCTCGAGTTGCAAGTGACCTTGTTGTCGTCGCCCATCTTTGTGACGGCCTTGGGCTTGAAGACGTTCAACTCTCCCCAGCTGGTGTCTTGCGCGCACGAACACTTGGCGACCCAGCTGTCCTGCAAACGCCACGTGTTGCGGAAGCACCAGCGGTAGCCCGTGAGCCTGTGCAGCTCCTGCAGCATGCGCTTGCATGCACGGGAACGGTTGCGCGTGTCGTCCTTGCCGGTGACCAGGCTCATTGGCTGGAACTCCTCGAAAGGCATAATAAACTTCTTCAGCTCCAGTGGCTTGCCTTTCGCCTTGGCGCTTTTGATGGCACGGACAAGTTCGGCCCAAGTCGAGTTTGCATCCTTGCTGACACGGTGAGCGGAGCAGGTCTTCATCACTCTGCCGTTTTTCATGAAGTCCGACTTGGGTTTGCTAAGCTTGCATCTGTATATGCAGCGCGGGTGGATGTAGCCGTCAGTTCATTATATGGTGCCAAATTATTACTCCGATGACGCTCACGTCGTGCAAACGAGCATTTCGTCGTCTTCAGCACCATTGGCGGCATTGGCGCCTGCACCAGTCATCATTCCGTGCAGGAATGCACTCATGGCTGTAGTTTGACGGTGAAATGCCCGATGGGGGATGTGCTGGGGCTTATGAACGGCTGTGCTGAGCTCTGGTGGGAGTGCAGAACAGATACCTGAAGTGGATGCCAGCCGACCACGTAGCTGAAGGTGTTGCTTGTGTTGCTCTCAAGCGCGCAGAGTCCTGGATACTGTAAGTGCAGATGTGCAGACGTGCTTTCGAAGTCCCGGGGACTTGTGATGTAGACTTGGGGAAGGTGGATGGAAATCCCAGGGATGGGGTGGAAAGGAGAAGGAGATGTGGAGGGGGGAATCAATGGAGAGAATCGAGAAAGTCGCGAGAGGGAGAACGATTTTCGCCCCAGCGAATAGCGAAACTCGCTTGGAGGGGGAAAGTTTCCGATTTCGCCCGCCCCATCAAAACACAGACCCTCAAAACATCGCGGTACTACCGGAATCGCGTCCCGCACAGATCGGCCGCCAGCACACACCAGAAAGTGCACCGCGGATCACGAAACTCGGCCTTCCGCCCATGCCAATCCCCATCACCTCGGCGTAAAGTCACGGGGATCTCTTGACACTACATTCGACTAACTTTGGCGGTCCGCTCCCCTTTCCACCCGAGACGCCTCTTCAACTTCAGCATTACTTTAGCCCACTCTTGATCTCAGGTTTTAATGCAGATGGTCCTTGGTTGGCGACGAGATTAGCATATGCAGTAGCGCTATCACAGCTGCTTGGGCTGGTCCAAATGCATGCACCCCTGCGGATAAGGGACGAAACCGCACCACTTTTCCCTGGAGCGCGAAGGAAATCAGGCTACTCAGTTTTCTCGGCCGATAATCCGATATTCACAGTGTCAGACTCTCCAGTGAAGGTCTGAAAGGGAAAGACGGATGCCACATTTTTTGGGTGTGAACCTGCTTTTCTGGCCTGATCGCCAGACCATGTAAACTAGATTCTGCCTACTGACCCCCAAACTCATCGAGCCCCACTTGATTCTTTCCCCGGACAGCGCGCAGACGCATGGAATGATTCTTAGGTACTAGCATCGGCGCACTCTCGATTTGCCGCTATTTCTTGAAGACCTGTCCAAGCGACTATCGGGTTTAAACTCATCCCCACGGTCCCCACTGCTTCTCGGTACCATACACCCACAATCTCCATCATGGCTTCTGCACCGTCCTCAAGTCGTTCTATCGACGGCTTTACAGCCTCGTCTGCCTCTTTGCCTCGCACAGATCTCACAAGATGGCGCCTCCGCACCTCTGCCGGTAGCCACGGTCGCCATACTTGGCATTACCTTCCGGACGACCCAAATGTCCTCAAGGAATGGCCGCAGACAGACGAGGACAAATACTGGCTTGGCCTAGAAATGGTACGTTGAGACTTCGGGCCTTGGGATTTGGTAAAGCAGCGCGATTGACACACTCGCTTCTTGATACAGAACGCTCCAACACTAAAGCCTGCCGAAACACCGTTCGATGCTGCTCAAAACGGCTTCAAGTTCTACAAGAGAATCCAGGCTAGTGACGGCCATTGGAGCGGCGAATATGGCGGGCCCATGTTCTTGCTCCCTGGATTAATCATTGGCATGTACGCCACGCAGACGCCCATCCCGCAGGAATGGCGCATCGAGATTGTCCGCTACCTCTCCAACAAGGCCAACAAAGACGGGGGCTGGGGAATCCACATTGAGGGTCCGTCCACCGTCTTTGGCACGGCGCTCAACTATGCTACCTGCCGGCTCCTCGGCTTGGACAAGGAGCATCCGATGATGGTCAAGGCAAGAGGGACATTGCACAGGCTAGGCGGTGCTTCGGGGATCCCCAGCTGGGGCAAGCTTTGGCTTGCGGTGCTCAATGCTTATGAATGGGAGGGCATGAACCCGATCCCGCCCGAGCTTTGGCTCCTGCCGGACTGGCTACCTATCCACCCGTGGCGATGGTGGATCCATACGCGCATGGTGTATATTCCGATGGGCTTCTTGTGGGGCAAGAAGTTCAAGGCGAAGCTCGATCCGCTCATCGAGGAGTTGAGGCAAGAGCTGTTCGTTGAGCCATATGATAGCATCGACTGGCCAGCTCAGCGTAACAACATCGCCAAAGCGGATATCTTCTATCCTCACACAAAGGTGCTCAATGGCCTCATGGCTGTTCTAGGAGTGTATGACTCTTGCCGAATCGAAGCTCTGCGCCAAGCAGGTATCCGCCGCGCTTATTATCTGCTCTGCCTCGAAGACGACAACACATCCTACCAATGCCTTGGGCCGGTGAACAAGATGCTGAACTATGTCGCACGGTGGTCCATGGAAGGTTCGGATAGCGAGGCGATGAAGCAGCACCGCGAGAAGCTCAACGACTTTGTCTGGATGAGCGGCGAGGGCGCCATGATGACTGGGACGAACGGCTCTCAGCTCTGGGATGCTTCGTTCATCGGTCAAGCGCTTGTTGACTCGGGCATCGCTTTACAAAAGGAGCACCAGGACAGCTGCCAGGAGCTGCTCAACTGGCTCGACAAGTGCCAGATCCGCGAGCATCCAAAGCACTACAAAGAAGCATACCGTTTTGGCACAAAGGGCGCCTGGCCTTTCTCGACGCCAGAGCAAGGCTACGTCGTCAGCGACTGCACCGGCGAGGGGCTGAAGGCTGTCATCGATCTTCAAAGTCTGGGCACGCTGGAGAACAAGGTATCTGAAGAGCGCTTGCACGACGCGGTCGATCTCATTCTCACCTTGCAGAACCCGAGTGGAGGCTTTGCATCGTACGAGACTATCAACGGACCCAAGCTGCTCGAGTGGATCAATCCAGCTGAAGTCTTTGGTGATATTGTGAATGCTTTGCTAGGCTGAGCCAGACGGTGTCTGAGTATGACTTTTGATTGATCTTGTCTGGCTTTTCATAATCTTTCTCAGATGGTAGAGTACGAATACGCCGAATGCACCACGTCTGCTATCACGGGCCTGCTCAAGTTCCGTCAGATCTCCGAGTACCGTCGACAAGACATCGACGGCACCGTGGCTGCTGCCGTCAAGTACATCCTCTCTATTCAGCGTGCAGATGGCAGCTGGCTAGGATCTTGGGGCATCGCCTTCACCTACGGTGCTGTCTTTGCGCTCGAGAGTCTGCGTTCGGCTGGTTTGACATACGACAACACACCGGAAGTCCAAATGGCGTGCAAATTCCTCTTGAGCAAACAGATGGAGGATGGCGGATGGGGCGAGACGTATGAGGTAAGCTGCGAAAATGGAAGGTCTTCTTGCAGCACAGCAACTGATGCACAATCTGCTCCTCCGCATCTCCGCACAGTCTTGTGTCACTGGCGAATACGTGCAAGCGCCGACATCGCAAGTGGTCCAGACCGCGTGGGCCGGTATCGCGCTCTTGCATGCCAATTACCACAAGGCCGATCCTGAGCCCATCAAGCGTGCGGTACGGCTAATCATGTCTCGCCAGCAGCCAGATGGTAGATGGAACCAGGAGCTCATCGAAGGCGTCTTCAATCGCAATTGTGAGTATTGAGCGCACCATTACCCGTCCTGGCTAAGCGCTTCCTTACTGACATTGACGACCTTGACCTCAACCAGGTATGATCAGCTATCCCTCTTACAAACACGCGTTCCCGATCTGGTTCTTGGGAAAGGCTGCCCGGGAACTAAACTGGTGAACGGCTCTTCAATTTTGCATCCAAAGTACTATATTTTGAAAGTGAGACCCTCTCGTCAACCACGCGGCCCGCCTGTGGCTCTGTGCAATGAAACAATAATGAACGCCCAATGATTTATAATACAAACGTCATCCCAAAGACGGAGGAATCGCTGGCGATTGCCGAAATAGACGGCATCCGAGTCCTCGACCGCCATCACGCCGAGCTCGCCTCCGCAAGAGAGTCAATATCGATGCGAGGGTGCAGCATGATAACTTTCCTCGGCGTTGGGGTCGCCGCTTGACCGGCCGATTGGCTTTCTTGATTCGGTATGGTCGCCTGGACCGGGCTGCCGCTATCTTCTTGTGTGTCCTCCGCATCAATCTGGATGAGCGACAAGTCTTTGATGAGCTTGCTGATAACCTTGGCTACGAGCTCCTTCTCCTGGTCGATCTCCTCGAGAGATTGCAACTCATCCTCGCGCTGCTCCAAGTACCATTGGATCAACTCCTCACGGTCGATACCGCGCATGCGCTCGCGCTCGATCTCGGCGACGCGCATCATAATGAGATTTGCTACCTCCATGTATCGGTCGTAGGTGATGCGAAGCTTCGTCTTGCTGGGAGTGATCGCATTAGCGGCAGCATCTGTAGACAGGACACGTGCTGTGGAAGGGCCCGCTTCGGGCGCTCCCGTGCCGGCGCGAGCCTCTTGATCGTCTGTCTCCATCGACTCGCCTCCGTGTAGAGACGAGGTGGGAAGAGCGCTGCTTTGTCGCCTGTTGATATCCACGAGGCCATTCTCGTTGCCCACTTGCTCCTCGTCCTCATCTTCATCGTCAAAGTCGACGTCGTCCTTCTCGACATGGATGATGGACTGTCGCAGCAAACCGTACGCCTCTCGTACGCACGCCGGGGTTATGTCTGGTCGGCAATTTGCCCGCGCGATTGCTTCTGACAGACGGATCATGCTCTCAAGCTGACGGACGGTGATGCGGTACGAGTTCTTGCCAGCACCAGCGTCGTCCTCACGGAGGTAGCGGTACTTCTCCACCAACACGTCGCTCGCGGACGGCGTGAGTTTCGGCTGGAAGGTGCGCGCATAGCGGATATACCGCTGGATCGCCTCCGTGTTGAATTCCGGTGCGATAGCTGCATCTCGAAACCGGTGGACGTTGATAATGTGCTGAGCAATGTTCATGTCGGTCACCTCGTTGCATTCGTCCAGAACGACGAAAAACAGATCGAAACGAGACATGATGGGCGCACTCATGGCGACGTTGGCGCGCAGCGTCTGCTTGCGGTTGTACCGTCCGCCGACCGGGTTGGCAGCAGCCAAGATCGAGGTTCGAGCATTCAGTGTCGCTTGAATACCGGCTTTGGCGATGGAGATGGTTTGTTGTTCCATGGCTTCATGAATGGCAACCTGGTCGCTGACATCCATCTTATCGAACTCGTCGATGGCGCAGACGCCGTTGTCGGCGAGCATCAGGGCTCCTGCCTCGATTGTGTAGTCTCCCGTCTCCTCGTCCTTGACGACTGCGGCTGTAAGACCGGCAGCAGAAGAGGCTTTACCGGAAGTATAGACCGCACGCGGTAAGAAGCCGCAAACGTACTTGAGGAACTGTGATTTGCTCGTACTGGGGTCACCGACGATGCAGATGTTCAGGTCACCTCTCAGATGAATGCCTTCTGGCGTTTGCTTGTGCACACCTCCCATGAGCTGGAGCAAGATACCCTTCTTGATGATTTCATGGCCTGCCGAAAGGGAGATGAATGTGTGAGGATAAGGATTTAGCTGGTGTTGTTGCAAAGGTTCAACTCACCGTATACTGTTGGGGCAATGCTCTGGACCAAACGCGAATAGATATTCTCATTGCTGACCATCGCCTCAAGCTCCTCCCTCTCGGCCTCGGTGAGCGAATCGAGGAAAGCGCTGGTGGTCTCCTCCGCTTCACCTCCGCCGCGAATGTCGCTGTTCCCGCGCGCGTCTGCGCTTTGCACCATGCAGGCGAGGAAAGCGGTTCGGTACGTCAAGTCGCGTACACCCAAGGACTTGAGCCCGGAAACACCTGAGCCGGGGACACCATCGACTTGTCTGCCACCGCCGTTGCTCTCGCGCTGGATCTGAGCATTCATGCCTGGGATTCCGAGCTGAGAGACGTCGGGAAGGACAATGAATGTTCCGGTGAAAATGCACTTGTCTCCTGCCTTGGCTCGCTCTACGACCTCTGAGCGCAAAATGACGTCGATACTGCCGAGTCACTCTTAAATCAGCTCCATGCCCGCAAAAAAGCGACAAACTTCGAATACCTACCTTCTAGGCATGCTTCCAGTTGGGATTTCGTTGGCGTTCTCCTGAATGCGCACCTTCTGCCAGTCGCAAAATCTACTCTGCTCGACATTGAGCTGCCATTCGCGGCGATTCTGACAGCCAGGCGCCTTGCACATGACCGGTTCTGTGTACTTGAACTGCTGCTCGACATCCCGCTGTACATTTTTGCACTCGCCGCACGTAAAGGCGCCGAACAGAAGCTCAGGGCGCACTTCAGATGTACGCGTGACAGTGCCGCTAATGGACAACAGCCGGCCAACCTTCTCTGTGCGTAACTCACGGATACCCGAGACCAGGCCAAGATTGTAGAAGGCGATATTGAAGTCGCGCAGGACAAGCCCCGATGATGCAGTTGTTGCTGCATGTGCATTGATGTAGAGATAGTTGGGGATGTAGGTGCTCACGAGATCCAGGACAGCACGGCGCAAGTAGGGCAGGAATCTATGAGAGCGCGACATCAGCCAAGTGTCCTCGCTACAGTAACTCCGTGAATTGACACACCTGTAGTATTGCTCGCTGATTGCTCGCGCGAGGACCTCCTCGTGCTGTACGACATGAGTAAAGTCGACGAAAAGGGTAGTTTTGTCGTACTCTTGTAGTGCGCGAATCTGCTCAATGTAGATGGGTGCGCCGGCTCGGTCGCCGTCAGGGTCTTGAGATCCAGAGATGGGCTCCTCGGCAAAACTAGCAGGGAGCAAGGGTGCAAAAAGGTGATCAGCGTGATTCTCGCTCTTTTTGATGGCATCAGCCAGTAGCGCACTCACTTCTCCAAAAAGTCTGCAAAGCCTTCTCGGACTTTGTCGCCGACCTCGTCGGTGACAGTGGGGATCTGGTCAATGGTGATGTGTTGCTGTTGGCGTCCGATTCTTCGGGTGGTGGGGCCTGATGCAGTGGACTCGTCCTCGTCACCTGCTCCGCCACCGGCACCGCCAAGGTCTGCATCTTCGTCCATCTGGTCATTCTGGTTGGTGTTGACGACACCACCAGCTGCGAATGCGAGTGGGTCAAAGTTTGCGGCGCCTGCACCCGCAGGGCCGGCGGGAGGGGCGACTGGGAAAGCATCCATAATACCGACCGCTGCTATGTGTATGTCGTCTCTGTGAGAGAACGCTTAGAAGCCGGCCAATGGTGTGGCTCGAATGTTGGACGAAGACAAAGAAAAGGATGCTGGGAAAGGATCATAGAAGCAATATCGATGACAGCGATGAGCAAGGGAGAGCGAGACCAGGTCACACTTGAGGAGAAGCAGGTTCACGCGCTGTACGCGACGCGACTCCAGCTCAGAGACGCGTCGCGTACAACTTGCAATATGCATATATACGAGTCACGCTCACTCAAGACACGCGCCGTCGCAAAAACCAGCATGTCCACCAAGGCACAACAGCCCTTCTTTCACCGCTTCACCCATCAGGCACTCACCGCCTTACCGCCTCAGCGCCTGATCGGTTCGTTTGTCGAGCAGCGGCAAGTTGACGGCTATGCACTGTGTACATCTGAACCTCGTAACCCTTGGTAATCCGTTTCAGTACGAGAACTCTTCGGTGTAGCAATCAAAATCTGTAACGCGAGTCTGTCGTGCGCAGTGGATGGCGAACTGCGAAGAGCACATGTTGCTGCAAGCACCTACAACATACACATTGCTTACTGATTCTACCGCATCAATGCATACAACTTTTGGCTATATTACGGAGCACATGCTACGGAAAAGACGAGACGACAGCAGGGCTGCATATCAGAAAAACACACCAATGTACAAGCTAAAGCCTGCTTCCTCCTGTCACTGTGGACTTCTCCTGACTCGGATCTGCCGCGAGCTGGAGGGAACGCAAATAAATTTGTATTCAAAATCTAGGCCATAGCATGTCAGCATACACCCTGTGAAGCAGTTTGTAGACACATGTGCAAGCAAGGAAGCAAATACACTGGAATGCACAATCTATTTGCCTTGGACGCCTTCTGCATCTTGTGCCTGCTCCGCATCCTCCAAGTCACACATCTCTTCGCGTGTCGCCTTGGACGAAGCGGCGAGTGACGGCACGAAATCGCTCGCATTGTGCTCTGGCACAGTCCCATCTCCCATGTATCCATTCCAGCCGTTGGCGAGGAGGTACTGCCGCCACTCTTCATCCTCCATGGCTAGGTCGAGCTTGGCCGTGTCGACGACAAAGAACCAGGCTATCAGGATGCCCAGGACGCCAATGCCGGCGGAAAAGTAGAACGTCGCGGGTTTTCCGAGGTTCTTTTGGATAGGCAGGAAGGCTGTAGAAGTGGAAAAGAGGAGAATGGTATGTTAGTACCACGCAAATCAACCCGACAGGGGCACAGGTGTGCCGAAACCGCCCAGGCTCACCCTGAGTACCAACTGCTGCGCCAACCTTACCAATGGCAGCCGAAAATCCGTACTGTGAAATCGAAGGGCATCACATTAGTCGATGCGCAATCATTACGCTCGGAGAGCTCATAAAACGCACGAAAGAGCCACGAAGCGCAGTCGGATAGCTGTCAGAAGCAATGAGACCCTAAAAGAGGGCAGGAAAGAACGTTACGTGAATGGAGGTCAGTCGCGTGCTCCAGCAAGCATTTGGCACATCAGCCGCGCATTACTCACGCATACACTGCCGGGCCCTGCATTTCCCATGCTCGCCAGCATGCCATACATGAACACGAAAGCGCCGGGTACAGTGATGAGGTGGTTCCAGGACAGGCCGATGATGAGACCAACGACCAAGTATCCTGCAAAGCCAAGCATGAGCTGGTACTTGCTGCCGAGCCAGCGGATCAGGAAGGGACCGAGCAGTGCGCCGGGCAGAGCGATAGAGCTGAGCAGGAGCTGGTATTCGGCTGTCTGCTTGAGGGTCGCTCCAGGTATGATGGTGGATATGATCGTGCCCGAGAAGACGCCCTGCGGATGATGAATAGTGAGAAATGTAAGCAGCGAAGCCCGTTCTTAATGAAACCTGTTACGTACGTTGGGAAAGGTTACAAAGTCATATCTGCCGAGAACAGATAGGCATAAAGCGTGAGGACAGAACATCATGCCGGAGTCAGATGAAAGAGCGCTCACAAGAACCAAACGACAGTCGTGCCGACCAGTCGTGGCCAGTACTTCTTGAGCGCCAGCCAGTAAGGGACATTCTGCCTGATCGCGTTGGCGCGGTAGCTGAGCATTCCAAAAAGAAGGCGTCTTTAGACCTCAAAACGTGGACGAGCGAGAGGCCGGACAAGGAAATGGGACAACGTACAGCTTGGAATTGAGCATCCTCCATCGAAACCAGAAGACACTCAGTGGCAGAAGCGCGCCAAAGCCAAAGCAGACACGCCAAGTGATGTCGAGGCGCTTCAGGTCCCAGGCTTGGGTCGTGTTGGAGTATCCAGTGGCGGAGAGTACGATGAGAAAGACTGATACGGCGAAAGGGCCGCCGAGCGAGAGTACGACGTTGGTGACAGCGATGAAGACGGATGAGCGCGATTTTTGGCCATACCTCTCATTCGAAGCCTCCGACGCGCTGACGCTCGAAGCGGGGTACTCGCCCCCGACACCGAAGCCGACTACGCCGCGGGAGACTGTGAGCCACCAGAAGAGCGCATTCGTGGAGCCATGCACGGCCGTCGCAGCCGTCGCGAAGATCGCACCAATTACGAGCAGCGTTGTAGTGATGAGGATGGCGCTTTTTCGCCCGACGCGATCGCAGATGATACCGACAGTGACTTGACCGAGCACCGCGCCTACCAGCAATGCGTTCGACACTCGCGTCGAGATATCACTGTTGTATACATTGGAGCCGTACCGCTTGGCGAAGAGCACATTGACGAGCGTTAAAACGTTGTTTTGGTAGCCGTCGGATATTAGAGCAGCGCCAGAGGCAAGAACAGTAAACATGTCGGAGAGTTTGGCCTTGCGAGCTTGCTTTGGGTCGACGGGCTCAGCCAGTACGCTCGCATCGACCTTAGCCGTTATGGCGCCATCGTCATGAGACAGGTGAACGACCGCAACTTGCGCCTTGTCAGACGGTGCCGAGGGCGGCGCTGGTTGTATTTCGTCGGTCATCCTGTGTCTGCGAGGCGGCGAGCACACCAAGGAGAGCGCGAGTGAGCTTGACAGCTAAAGGATGAGAGGCCACTCGCGTTCAACGTGCGGGAGGCGGATTGCAGATGTTGGGGCATTGACGATGGATCCGTGGCCCCGCTATTTGAGGTGCTCGTCCACTCCACCTTCGGGTCTGCGTTTGATGGTCCTCATCAGGGATGTGTAAAACTCTCCTCGCCTACCTACCATTACGCCAGTCTGTTTATCATCATCTGAAGTTTGAATTCCCCTCAGTGCTTGTGCCGCGCCCATGCATGCCGACGACAAGGTTGCTTTCATCAAGTACCAGAGGAAAAGTCACGTGGGGACATCTCCTTGCAGGGGCAGGGAAAGGGCCTGGGCCTGGGGGCGTTCTTGGTTATTTAGTCGAAAAACTGCGGCGTCGTAAAAAGCGTCGGCCGTCCTGCGCCGCGTTAGCCTTGCATAACTCACCGACAGCGTATTGAGATTGAGTGTGCGGTGTGTATGTACCTGGTTCCTGGCACGTGCAGAGGTGAGGGGGCATGGGCTAGAGTTGGCCCGGAAACATGGCAAATACCGGGTTACGGAAACAAAAGCTCCCCGGAAAGGCTCGTAGACATTCTGGAAAGCAGCTGCTTGAAATCGAGTTCTGGTAACTCCCGGAAAGCTTCTTTATGACCACCCCCGTACTTTGCTAGTAAGATGGATAATTATGGCACTGCTCGCTCTATGCCCCCAGAGAGGCTGGACCTGCGACCTAGACCCGGTGATTTTTGGAGTGTTTGTCGGCCTCAGGAAAGTCCTTGGGGAAAGGGGCTCGGAAATTACCGGGATTCCGAGGTGTCTGGTGGAGGCCAGTGCAGTTTCCGGGCCAACTCTACCTTGAGCGGCAACAGGCTATGACAGGTGTGCATGTACTTGCCTAATAATTACAGAAAAGAGCTTATATAATAGCCCTTGTTTGCCAGTGATTGCGACCCAATGTGCCTGCCTGTGGTCAGTGCTGGCCTACGTGCCGATGTACATGCATGTACAAATGTGATGTCATAATACATTCTCATCAGCTCGTCGCTCGAGAGTCATCGCAACTCGAGGCTCGCGTGCTGGATGCTGGATAGTGGAGGCCTGGACGGGTCCCCTCGAGACCATGACCCTCGATCTTGAAGCCCAGAAGGAGCTCAACGAGGCGAAGTCCATCTGGATGTTGAGTAGTTGACGCTTTGACAAAGCCATCTGACCAACCACTCTTCACGCCATTAACTTCTGATCCAACCGACCGTACGACGCCAAACGGGAGGACGTGTACGCATCTTCGCGCCATTACATATGTGGGAACTGAGAGCTTCGATGTTGCGACAGGACCATACAGACGAACGCGACCTGACGCGAGCCTTCTGCTCTCCTAGAGATACTCCCCCTTTATCCACGCTTTGACCTTCTGCATGCCGACGCCCGGATGCATCAGTAGCTCTCCATGCACCATGCCCTGCCCGACAAAGAGACCGCCGCCGTCCTTTTCGTCTCGCATCCCATGCTCTACCAAGTACCGGTGGTTGGCTTCCGAATTGAGGATCGCGTCGTCGGACGCGAGGAGGATTCGTGTCTGCGTTGGATCATCGATGTGAAGGATCTGAGCCGTAACGGGGCGCGGAAGCCCGGCCCTGTCAGGGCATATTTGTGAATGGCCCGGGAAACATCAGGGGACTCACCTCTTCTGGCCATAGAATGTTCGAAGGCCAGTCAAAGTGGCGGCACAGAACGTTAGCAGTGCCAACCTGCAGCGACATCGGAAGGAAGATGATCAACACAAGGCGCACACAATGGCGCTGATGCTGGCATGCGCTTCTCACTTCGCGGGCGACAAAGTACCGCAGAATAAGCTTCATAGGTGTATCGGCTCGGAGCTGCACAGAATCAAGTGATCACGGATCAGTGCTGTGCAGCTTGATATTCAATCGGCAAGAGAGTAAAGCTCACATAGACAAAGTTGGCGCAGACGTGCGGTACCCAGACTGAAAATGGCACAGGCGACATGGTCATGGTAAGCATACCCTGTCTTCAAGTACCTCTGTTGCAAGCTACAAGGAATACTCACGTTGAAAGCAGACAGGATCCACCAAGCAGGTCCTCTGTATGAGTCCCGGAAAGCATTTTAGAACCCAAGCGGAGCAGATGGTCCCCCATGAATGGCCGAGCAAGTCGATGTGGCAGCCCTGCACATCCCATCCCTCCGATCGGAAGATCTTGCGCAGCGTTCCGGTCGTCTCGTGGTGTTTGAGAGGGGCGAGGAAGTATTTGGAGAAAATATTCTGGGAAATGGACGGCTGGATTAGGATAAGGATGGGTCGTTGCATTGTTTCCGTGTCGTGCAGAAACATGTCCACCACCGCGATGTACTGTGCAAGACCGATTCCCAATCCGTGCAAGAATAGCAAAGGCCGATATTTCGAAGTACCGTCTTTGATGGCTTTTGCAGGTGTCCACCCTGGAGGCCGGTAGATCAGGTATTCGAGCCGCTCTCTCCGCTCTTTTTTGAAACCGCCCCAAATCGCTTTGCGGATGACCAGCCATGAAAGTGTGTTCGTGACCGCGTACAGGACAAATGGCCGCGATACAACGCGCACAGGATCGACCGTCAAGCGCATCGTCCGTATCCTCGGGCCATTATTGGTGTGAGCAGGTGAACATGCCGCCGGATGTTCTGGAAGTGTGAAGCCCTGCCTCGCTTCGATGAGTTCGCGGCAATAATGCAGGAAATCAAGCCGCGTCCCTCGTACGGGGTCATCCCACTCCCCTGGCTCTGCCTTGACACTTCGCACACCTTCTTCCGAGAGAGTAGATGCGCTGCTGGGCACGCTGCGCAGTATTGGCCTTCTTCCCCCGGGTTCGGACCATTGCGGTGGTGCGGGGCTACTGAAGCTGCGCACGCGTATCCCAGTATCATCATTTTGCTTGGAGGTTGGTGCCTTGCTCTCCGCCTCAATCTCTTCGAGGGTGGTCCCGTAGAGCGACCACGCGAGCCAGTGCTCGACATCCCTCTGTGTCAGATCATCGATGGGGACGTTCCAGAACCAGCGCCTGTACTCGTCCATAAAAGTCTTGGCGCGAGGGTCATCGCGGTGCAGGTCACCATCAACGAAGGAAGGAACGTATGACACGGAGCGCAGGCGGGCGATGCGTGCTGTTTTCGCCTTCTCATCCTCGGTCTGGCCAAGCGATGGAGAAATTGTGCCGGGGGACCGTGGCTTGAGGGCCGGCTGCTCAATGACAGTGATCGGCTCCAGGGTTGTGGGAGCCAGCCTTTTGCGCAGGTTATACACACTCGCTCCTCGGTTGGGTCTGTTTGCGGCACTGTCGCCATTGGCGGTCGGATTGAAGCTGCCATAGGGCTTCGAGCCAAGGCCTCCCTCTAGCGCTCGGCTAAATACATAGCACAGGAAGCGCCTGCCATAGATTGGCCGAGGTCCAGGCTTCTGAATTCTCCGCTTGAGGATATGTAGATAGATCGAGAACGCGTTCTCGATCAGGCAGTACGCTAAGAGCCCTTTCGAGGTGACATTGCGGTCAAAGTCGAATCTGAGAACGCCCTCCGGCAGGATAGAAGAAGGATAGTAGCCAAGTTCATGCAAAAAGAAGGCGATGATGTACAGCCAGCATATTGGAGTGATGGACCAAAGACCAAAGATCAGGGCCCTGGTGGCCAGCATCAAAGCATCGACGGGGATGAGACGCGTCATGCTGGGCCTAAGTGACGCACTGAAGCGACGAAGCGATGGCGTCAGCGGCCGGACACGCACGAAAGTGACTTCAATGTAAGGCTGAGAAGACGAACGGTGTTATATCCCACTCCAGAATGATTCAAGCTCAATAAGTACTGAAGGTTTGTTTGCTTTGTTTGCCTTTGAAGTTGGGGAACCGATTATCGAGATCTCGAAGTTCGATTTATTTCCTCGTTCTCTCCTGTTCTCCCCAGCAACCAGAGTATTCAATTCGAACCGAGAGTCGCTACTCTCCCTAAAAGAATATACATATGGGAAGTAGAAGCCAGTATGAAGGGCTGCATCTCATGGCAGTCATCCAAGCCTATGACTGCAACGCGCTAGGTGCGATGCACAGTTGTGTAATGCGGTCACATGTCACTCTCGTCGTCAGACCCTAGCATGTGCGCATAGTCGTCCGCGCTGGCAAAGACCGGCATCTCCTTCCTTTGCTTCTTGAGCGCCCGCTTCTTCTGCCCCTTGCTGAGCATTTCCTTCTCGTTCTCTTCAGCCTCCCCTTCATCCTCTGCTCCACGCTTCGTCGCCTTGCCCTTGGACTCCGCTTCGATGTCGTCAAAGTCGGCGAAGGGGAGCAGGTCGTCTTCGTCCTCTTCGAAGATGCCTTCATCTCCGTCGGAATCATTGTCGAGGATATTGCCAAAGTCTTGAGGTTCTCGATCGTCTGCCAGCGTGTCCTCGTCATCTTCTGCTTCACTCGTGCTCTCCGTATCATCCTCTTTGCTTGTCCCTTCCATGGCATCCTCGAAGCCCTCCACGACTTGCGGCTCGCCGCTTTCCTCGTCCTCCTCACTATCACTGTAATCATAGGCAGCGAGATCATCGTCGTCCTCATCTTCTTCGTCGGAGATGCCCATGTCATCGTCCATGTCACCTCGGCCTGGCATCGATGCTTTCATCGCTTCCCAAATTTCTGCCTCATCCGAGTCGGTGTCCGACATACCGGCATCAACTCCGTCCGGAGCGTCTGCTGCGGACCGATCGCTCTCGTTGTAATTCTCCGCTGGTGCCGTGTGTTCGCCTTCAGATTCGCTCTCCATGTCGTCACCCTCGTTTGCGTTTTCACCGCCTTTCCCGCTCTCCCTGCCTTCGCGTTGGGCTTTTTGGTTGAAGAATTGGTGGAAGAACAGCTGATCGACGGGGACGTTGTCCTTCTCCTTTTTCCAGAACTTCTCGCTATTAACAAATTCACCAGCAGCCAAACCTTTGCCTCGGATGTTGATCACACCCGTTTCGAGGCCAGCAACGCCGCGACCAGAAGCAGCCTCCGCTGGTTGCATGATACTTGTGCCTTTGTAGCTGACAGGAGTCTTTTTGGGATTGCGGTAGACGAAGCGGTCGAGGAAGTGGGAGAGGGTATTCAGGGACAGATCCGCATTCGACGTCACGTCTTGCGACTGTAGCAATTGAAGGGCATTCAATGCAACCGAAGGGTGGAAGTGTTGGGTCAAAGGAAGCTGTAAAAGAAGAGTAACATGGGGTGAGCAAGTGGTTCCTCTTGAGGAGCTGCATTTTGGTACTCACGATGTCCCACAAGCAAGTGATCTGTGCACCTGCGAATCTCGGGTCTCGCTTCCTGCCGTCGTACGCGACGCGGCTGATTCCATTTGCCGTGATTGCCAGCGCGGAGCCCTCCTGCTTGCCTTGCCCTGCTTCGTCATCCTGTTCCTCTTCGTCGTCGTCCTTGACATCTACGAAATGCTCCTCGTCGTCTTCCTCCGGGTCGTCCAGCATGCCCTTGAAGCCAGGGTTGATTTTGAAGAGCTCTCCAAGGAGGAAAAGCGCGCCGCAAACAAAGGACGGATCGTGCATGCAGAGCACCTGGCAGATGCGCTTGATGAACGCCTTCTTGCGATCAGGATCTTCATCCGCTTTGAGCGCCTTGAACAGCAGATTGAGGTACATGGCCTGCTTGGAAGACGTCGCAAGGCGCGCGTCCAGAAGCGAATCGTAGAGCGTGCGATAGAAGCGATCCCCGAGAGACGAAATGGCAGAGACACGGATGTCTGTGTCCGCTCGCTCACCGGGTGGGGTGGCTGAGACTGCCACTTGAAAGATGAGTTGAAGAGCTTGAATCGAGATGTTGAACGACCCGGTGTGTGTGACGCGGAATAGTGTTGCCATGTGTTTATCGAAGCTTTGCGAGCAGGCGCAGGTCAGACAGATGTGGTTTGCGGGGGGCTTATTCCATATTTCGAACTCACATATCACTGCCTAGCCTTGCGAAAGGGAATGCTCTGCGAACCCCGGCCAAGATCGCGGCGACCATCTTGGAATGCGCTTCATCGACGCCCATAGTGTTCTTCTTCAGGGGCTGCGAGCCTTTCCCACCTTTTCCAAACTTCTTGCTGTCCTTCCACCGCGGCCTCTTCTCCTTCGCAGATTGACCTCCGTCGGCTGCCTCAGCAGCGCCATCAGCCTCACCATCGCCTCCAACTTTGCGCCGCTCATCCTTATCAACGTGAGCTTGCTGCTCGAGAAGGCCCTCGAATAAGTCAAAGTACAGCTCTACGAGCATGTTTGCAACATCTTTGTCCTTGCTTGTCAGCATGGTTTGGTTGAGCGTCAGAACACCATAGTATCGAGCATGGAGATTGACTTTCGAGTTCGCGACAGCATCAGCGCCAGCCGAAGCCGCCTTTCCCTTGCCTTTGGCTTCTGGTGTATGTGGGAGCTGTGGTTTGCCTGCTGAGGCCTGGAAAATGATTTGTGCAACCTCCCTTGCGACAATAGCTTTCATGGCAGGATGCACGTTGAGCAGCTCGAGGAGGTGTCCACTGGCGCGACTGGCGACGCTTTTCTCGTTGTCGCCAAGCTTATTGACGAGCAGCCTGAGCAAGTTCTGCTCTTGTTCACTCTGGTCACGCAGAAGGTGAAACATCTGCGAGACGGATGCGGTTCGCACAAAGGGCAGAGTGTCGTGCGATTGAGCTTCCAAGAGCTGCAAGAAGTGAAAGTAGAACTTTTTGAGGTAGTCTTCGAAGACAAAGAGACCCAAGTGCTGATCGATGCTCCGCTCTGCTTTGCCCCCATCGACTCCTGCAGGTGGACGAGAAGCAGCGACAACTCTAGGCAGGAGCGGTTGGTCTCGGAAGTAGCGCAGCTTGCGGCCTCCCTTGCCAAGGGCAGGTCCCAGACCTCCAGGAGATGCGAGCCAGTCAGCTAAAGCCCGGGTTGCGCGACCGCTCTCCTGCCTGCTCTTCTTCTTGCACATTCCAAACAGACGATCGAGAGCAGCGAGATTGTGCAAAGGGCTAGACTGCGCGAGAAGTGTCAAAGCCGATACGCGATCCGAGAGCGTTGCAGCTGATCCGCCAGACTCGCCACCGCCTGCGGAGGAGAGCAAGGAAGCAATGAAACGAGCATCGGATGCGGAGAGCGTACCGAGGGACCCCAAGTTCGCAGCCTGCTTGCCGCTGTGACCATCTCCTCCTGTTCCATAGAGCAAGGACGAGTAGCGAGCATTATCTTCGTGCAGGACGCGCTCACCACGAGCGTACATTGCAGAGATATCGGCTTCCGAAAGGGCAGGCGTGGCTTGGCCTTTTTGCGAAGAGGAAGGCGCCGAGCTTGCTTGGCTGGGTAGAGGTTCGAGCAGCATAGGCATCCACAACGGCTGTGCTGTGAAGATCATATTTCCCTTCACTTTTTCGCCGGCCTTGGATGCGAGCGCGTAAAAAGGCGACGAGTCGGAGACAGAATTATTCGCAAGGCTGTTTCGGTCCGAGAAACCAGGGGTATCATTTTTCTTGAATGGTCTCCTACCGGGACTCCCATCTTTCGAGAATGACGGCTTGGCCTTGTTGTTATCAAAGGAAGGCCTCGGCTTCTTGAAGCCTCCTTGACTCGTCTTCTTGAAAGTGTCTGCATCCATATTGCCTGCAGCCCTGTTGCCTGTAGCCCCATTGCCTGCAGCCCCACTACCTGCAGATTGCTGCTTCTTGAAGCGATTAGGCTTGGAGCCCTTGTCCTTCGGTCGGAAATCTCGCACCATGATGTTCGACCTCTTTTTCAAATCGCCTAATAGCTGCTTGCCTTTAATAGCCCAGCGACAAGCAAGCTTCCTTTAGACGACTGCGAATGTCAGGAGGAAGAGCTGGTTCATCTGAAGGACTCGTCAAGGTTCGTTAAGGTCTTGTCCGAGAGGGGGGAGCAAAGGCCAAATTTTTTGCTGTGCCGTCTCAAGCATTCCGCATCTCGGGGACTTGAAGCAATACCCTACCAGTGTTGCACCGATTGTGTCAATTGATTCTGTTCCCTGGCAAAGGAGAGAATGCACCCCACGCTCCCCCCACGGCCCCACAGTTTTCCCCACGCTGATGAGATCATAACTCCATCAGTCAATTGGCTGATGGACACTCTCCGACGACGACCATCCTGCGGTTGCATCTTCAACAGCCCCTGCATCGGCTAAACATACAATGTACTAGCTACCATTCGACCATTCATATCCATGGGCGAGATTGTACTTTCAAATCGCCCTCGCTGTGCGAACATTTTGACTCCCCCGCCCGGTCGAAACATCCTCATTGCCAAGGCTTGACCATGACGGCCTCGCAGCAACGCATTGCGCACATCGTGTCCAACCTTTTGAACATCCGCTCAGGCGTTGAGCGACTGACAATCAACCTGCTCACTGCTCTTCTACCCGCTGATGGCGGTGCGGATGACAGAGCCCAAGATGGAGGTGAAAGCACCCCAGCGCATCAAGCTCAGTCACACCCGGGCACATTTCGACAAGACCAGAGTTGAGCTGGAGGGCTACAATCGGGGCCCTGGTAGTGCTTCCCCTCGTTCTCCGCGCAAATTCGAAACTGCCTGGACCTAGTGTCGGTCGCATTTGCTGCAGTTGTGTCCAAGAATCCATGAAAGGCATATATCCTTCGCACCCCGACCTTTGGCTTTACAAACTCGATCAAGATCAGCGCATGGTCGAGCTATGCTCCATCGGCTTTGCTCGCAGCGCGCTGCCAGACGTCTTCTGGGAGCCGCTCAATCAGAAACCTCGAGGGAATATCGCAAATTGACTTGTGCCATCAATAGAACAGACATACCTAGAAGTAAGTTCCGGATGTCTTGGCAGGAGAACAAAGCCGTGGCAAGCTAAAATCATGTGTCGTCCTTACCAGCCATTTGGCGATGGTTCTGTGTCATGACTAACTTCAGTTTGCAAGCCGTAGGCACAGCGGAGTACGAATGAAGGGACATGCACAATGATCTTGCCTTCATGAACACCTTTGTGCTCGAGCTAGACTGGTACGCTGGCGGCCCTCCGGAGATCATGTCATCCAGGTGGTCTATGACGCTAGCTTGTTCGCCATGCAATTCGCGCCCCTGCTGTTCATAAGGGATCCTACTGCACAGAAACATTGTCTGAGAACGTTCAACGCTTCAGGCAGGGCACGAAGACCTTTTCCAGGTATGACGTCTTAGACTTCCTAAAATCTCTTTTTGCAACCATTGACTAGGTGAGCCACTTCGACGGTGACTTTATCCATTGGTTTGACCCCCTCGGCCATGCTATACCGTTCGACTGATAACTCTCCAACCGTTTTGCAATGTTCGGATTCTGGAGGGCAGTCGTCCTGGAAAACATTCAGTAGGATAGTGCAGACTGGTTTGCCATCAAGGGCATCATTCTCAGAAACATCAGGTGGTACATGCACCAGCCTGGCGTGCTCAAAACCGATAGCACATTCAGTCTATGGTGAGCTTTTGATATTGGGCGCTATAATGCACGTCTCATCGACCAAAGGAGGCTGATTCAGCGTCGCCCTGGCCAGGTACACCCTTGAGCACCCCTTCTTGACCAAAAAATACAACTTCTGGAGGCTTGAACATGTGGTGCTTCCTGGTTATGCAGATGCTTGCCCTGTGGGAGGACAGTGCTTTCTGGCGCGCAGGTGAAAACGCATAGCTTGCTGAGCAGATATTGGAGGTCATTGTCCTACCTAACCGGTCATATGGAGGTGCGCGATAGGCACTACGTGCTGCGCATCGGACAGTAACCGCATTTCAACATGCGTGGCGGTGCTGAGAAATGTGAGAAGCGGGGGCTATTTTCCCAAGCTTGCCAGCACTCAAATTTCGTTGTTGGCTGGCCCCCAGACTGCAAATTTGCATACAGCAACATGTTCGGCTTCAGTCTCCCATGGGTGCTTCGGGCCTGAAGCAAAAGAACGCGGAAAGTACAATCGCCATCTCGGACGACGACGGCGAACACAGGAATGTACGACTGTCTGCCATTTCGGCTGGGCTCGTCCAAGGCTACATAAGGGTGTTGCGTCTGGTGTGGAACGCCCTTCCAGATCTCACGGCCATCACGTGGCTGATACCGCTGCAGGAAACAATTTGACAGCCCGGGAAAGGGTAGGACCAGCTTCTGACATTTGCGTGTGCAACGGGTGGAACGAGCCCCGACCAACAGCCGCGGTAACCGGAACACGACATAGACGCAGATGGCCATGAACGCCTTGAAATCGAGCGATACTAGCTTCGCGGCGAAACACATGCTGAACGACCGCGAGCGGCGTTTTGTCCCGCTCATCGACGGCGGGACTGCAGATGGTGTGGATCTGAGGACGCAATGCCGCTTCCAGGCGCTGGGCGCGCTGCGCTCGTCGCGAACGAGCAGGGCGTCAAGGGCATCTGCAACCTTCCCATCACTGTCGATGATGACGGTGAAGGCGGAAAGAACAGCTGGAAGGATAAGGGGCTTAATCGCGGAAGCGCGATGCTGGCTGACTTGATATCGAACATCATCGAGCCGCGCCCGTCCACTCCGCTCATCGTCATCGATCATGACGACGACGATGATGCCGCCGCCGAGGGGTGCCCGAGCGCCATCTTCTGCCCCCCCCTTTCCCCCGCCGCGATAGAAGCGGATGGGAAGGCGACGCGTATTCTCGCGCTGGAAGAGTGGGAAGACGAGTGGCGTCACCTGTCAGTTGTGCCTGAATGGCTGATTGCAGAGCGCTCCGTAAAGCTGAACGATGACCGCTAGACAAAGGCATCGAGGAAAACAAGGAGGATGCCCCCGCCGATATTGCGATAGCAGACGCGGCTGCTTGTAGTTGTTGCAATGAAGATAGTACAAAATGTGGTCAAATCTGGCTGATGCGGTGGTATGCTGGACTAGCAGCCTCGTACTGCTGTGCAAAGAAGCGTTTCTTGTTCTGCGCCAAGAATCTGTGCACGCGCAAGTCAAAGGATCAGCGCAAGGCGAAACGGAGGACGCTCATATCGAGATTGCAGAGAGGGCTTTTGTGTTCTGTCGCTTCGTGAAACTCACTGTAAAAAGTCTGCGATGTGCTCTTTGAGGATGGCGACGGATTCGACGTCCATGGTTGTGTGTGCGATGATTCCCGGTAAGTTGACTGTGGGAGCATCACCGACGTACAGGGAAGGAAAAGCATTTCAGTCCGGAGTGGCCAAAGAGGAAGGCTGTCGCACGTAGGCAGGCCGTGAATACCCACCAAAGAGGCGCAGCAGGTGTTCTGCACCGTACAGGGCGCTAGGCTCGATGCCGCCAATGAGCCCGGAGTCATATTCAGTCGCTTTCCTCCTCTCCCTCTTTCCCGTCGCCGCTGCTGACACATCCCCGTTCCCATTCGCGGCTACCGAAGCTACTGCCGCCGAAGCATCCGCCACACCCTCTGCGCCGCTCCCCTTGGCTCCCTCCTTTTCCGCGAAGCGCTTGCGCATCTCAACAAACTGCTGCCGCTCGTACTTGTACAGCAGGTTGTTGCCGAGACTCTTGTCAAAGTAGAGCTTAAGGCCTGCTAGCACCTCCTCCACCACCGCCGGCGAGCGCTGCTTCGCTTCAGGGCGCGCGGAGAGGTGATCGCGGTACTCTTGCAGGATCATGTTCACAGTCGGCTCGCGTGGCACGGGGACGAGCAGCTGGTTCTTGGTGATGTTCTCCCAGTCGTCGACGAGCTGCAGCTTGAGGACATCTGGGATCTGGATCCGGATCTCTGGACGTTTCTGATACTCTTCATCCTGATCTCATTCAGAATGTGCTTGCCGGTCAGGACTGGTCTAATAATAGCGCACGGGTGCGCGTGCAAAGTCGCAGCGCCAATAGCCACCACTCACCGGCTCGACTGCGTCTCGCCCCCGCTTGAGTCCCCTGCCTCCTGACACGCGTCTTCCCCGTTCCCCAGCAACGTCCCCCCCACTGGATGCAGACGTAGATGGATTCGCCAGCTCCCTCTGCCGTTGCTGCTCTGCTTTCTGTGTGTCCTGCAGTGCCTTTTGTCGCGCAAGGTTTTCGTCATTGTACTTCAGCATGCGCGACTCGGGCACCCATTCGTCCCAGCTGCGAACCAGAGTAAAGGGCATTCAGACGCAACGTGCGCGGAACAGCGGTCAGGTGGGGAGCATCGAGAAGAGGTGCATATGCCATGCCCGTATTAGCTTGCTCACGTCTGCTTCCAGCCTTGATAGTGCACAAAGTAGTGTGGTCCGGTGTGGCCCTTTTTCTTGTCTTCGCTCTTCCAGTCCTCCGCTTTGAGCACCTGCGCGCGGATTCCAGGTCATATAGAATGTAAATGGCGGGCTCAAGAGAGCAATAACGCGTTGAACCACAAGTATAACTTCTTCCCAAGTCGCAAGCCCATGGAAAAGAAGGACAACATACCTTTGCCTGGTAAAGTAAAGGCCCATGGAAGCAGAGTATCTTCTCGTTGACCGCGTACTGCATCGTGGGCAAAGCTGGCCTGCGTTCCGGTGCGAACCATTCGCAAGCTGCGCTTTCGAATCCTTTTCCTCCTCGTCCTCGGGCGGTGTGGCTGCCTTACGCCTGCTGGCCCAGCTATGGCTCGGGCTTGAACAGCAAGAAGCACTGGATGGATTTGGTGATCAATCTGCCCAGAAGCACGCGTCGTGGACCACGAGCTCAGAATGAGGGGCGCGGCGTTGTCGCGACGAGAAAGAAGCTGAGCCGTACAAGCAGGCGGATGCAACCCTACTTTGAGTACTATATCCATACACATGCACTCGCGCGGGCCCGTGCGGCGCATTCCACGGGGTGGATGGATGACACTAGACTGGATCAGTGCCACCTGTACCGCTTCCGCCCGCACATAGCGACTAAAAGAGACCCGCACAATGCAAATCCAGTTCCAATCCCGCCCCATCTCGGACAGAGATGTATTCAGACTATCTCGCATACCACAACACCCCCAAAGCAGTTAGCAACACAGGAAGTGAGACGCACGGTACTGTACGCAAGCAGACAGACCCAAACGCAGGAGATACCGCCCACCATGGAAGCCTGGAACAAGTTCACCCAGACCGTCTCGCAGGGCGCCGCCCAGCTTACCCAGAATGCGGCCCCCGTCGGGGAGAGGCTGACTCGCAATCTTGGCACCTTGGTGAGCTTTGTGTTGGGAGGACGTTGGGCCTCGCTTGGGGACAGCGCGCCGTAGACTGGATACTTCGATGGAACTGATGGCAACTGTGCCTGTGTGTGGGTGCAGAGCCAACAAGCAAAAGAGCGCTTTGGAGCGGTGGATGCGCAGGACATTACCGAGCTTCCCCAAGAATACAAGGACCTCGAGCACCGAGTAGACGCCCTGCGAAATGCCCATCAGAATATCATCCGGTGCGCCTCAGCCACCCTTGTGTTGGACGTATACCCTTCCGCGAGGCGACAGCTGCTGATGCGACCCATGCTTGTCCTTCTATACGCAGGGTGACCAAGGTGTACGAGACAGAGGGATACGACTACCCTGTGCAGGTGCAGGAGTCTTTCAACGAGGTCACCAAGTCGCTTGGACACACAGTCACCTCCTGGGCCGCGACGGCAACGAAACAGGCCAAGGTCATGGGCGTGAGCGTGCAGCCGACGAGCGCGCCTGCGCAGACGCACAAGACGCTCGCGCACGCCTTCAGTCGCGCCGCCGCGTCCGGCGCACTCGAGCTTGGCGCCGAGCCGGCGGGGATTGTTGGCGTCAGCTCCCCGATTTCCCCTAACAGCGCTGCCGCTGCGGGAGGGGCCGAAGGCACAAGAAAGACGTCTGTCGCGGCCGTCGGCGCACAGGAGAGCCGGCTGGGTCAGGCGTTGCAGAAGCTTGCGCTGGCGCAGGACCAGGTGGGCAACGCGCGCTTGAAGCAGGATGAGGAGATCATCACCGGCTTCTATCATCCCTGGACGAGCTTCGGCAACCAGATCAATCTCGCCATGAAGGCACGCCAGGCCGTCCGCGAGGCGCGCCTGCACCTCGACTCGTGGAAGCAGACTCTCAAGGCCGCTGAGGTCTCCGGGAGCAGTTCCAAACTCGACCAGTACCGCGCCGAGGTCGAGGGCGCCGAGGACAAGCTGGTCGCCGCAACTGAGGAGGCCATCGGGCTCATGAAGAACGTCCTCGAGAACCCCGAGCCGATCAGAATCCTCAGTGAGCTCGCCAAGGCGCAATCCGACTACCACCGCGCCGCAGCGCAGATCCTCGACTCGGTTCAGTCGGATATCTCCCGCAGCGCTATCTCCATGGAGTCAGACTACAGGGCCGGTCGGGCGTGAGCATCGAATGGGCTTCCCGCCCGAACAGCGTGGACTTGTAGAGGATTCGGATTACCGAATGACATGCCACCCGCTTTTACCACCGACCATGCCGTCCACCGCCCGCGGAGTGATCTGACATGCTCTGTGCGGTTGGTTCCACACGACGTCTGATTTACGAAGATATGTATATTCTGCAAAGCCCCGATTGAACGCTGCTGTGCGACTAGACTACATTGTGGGGCGGAAATAGGCGGGCAATATACCATTGCACAACCTAGAGTTTAATTGAGGATAGAGCGACTGCGCTTGTGAGACAGGCTCGCCCTTCCGCCGAGGCTTCCCGCACTGCTGCGCTTGCGCTGTGTCTTGGTGCCCTTTGAAGAGCGAACACCGGTGGCGGCAGCAGTAGCAGAGTCGACTTTCTGCTCAGTCTCATTTTCATTATCGTTCTCCTCGTCCTCGGAGGCATCAACGCCGGCGCCGGCAAAGCCTTTCAGCGGCACTTTGTAACTGCCGCTCGGCGCCACGGCCGCACAGAGCTCCTCAGCATCCTCGATGCCGTAGTTGACAAACTCCCACTGTTGCACCGCGTCAGCAGCAGCGCGAGGGGGGACGACCGCATGCTCGGCGCTGACGCTGAAAAGGGGAGATGCGACGCGCTTGTTCGCTGCGATCTTGCGTCCTGCGCCGCTGCCCCCTATCTTCCTAGACAGAGCGGTGGCAAAATTGCTGGGACTTGCTGCCAGGGCCATCCCACTCGCGTGCGAGCCGGCCCATGCCGTCGGCACTTGTGGAACGCGCCAGCCGAATGCGGCCCCTGCTGCTGCAGACGCAGGCGCAGAGATGGCAACAGAGGCGGGTTGATACAGGCCAAGCGCGCTTGCGAGCACGTCTGGCGAGACGGGCATCTGCATCTGAGCCTGCGGCTGGGACTGGGCCTGCACCTGCACGGGGTGGATCTGACGCATGTGCTGTTGGGCCTCATGTTGCGCTTTTAGAACGTACGGGTGGTAATACTGCGCCGAAGAGCCGAGGGAAGGCGACATGATCGGATCGCGGGTGCTGCTGTTGAACGACAAGACGCTGGGACCGGCGCTGTGCGGGACGGCAAACGAGGGGGAGGAAAGGGGCGCCGCAGCTAGGCCGAACGCTTCGCGCACAGCCGCGATGCCCTCCACACTTGAGAGCGTACCACGACGTGGCATGCTGCCGCTCGGTGCATTGCGCGCCGCAGCGGCCATCGCAGCAGCCGCAGCAGGAAAGGCACCGATGTCATGGCCGAGGCTGGCAGAGTGGCCGTGCGAGAGCGCATGGCTGATGGTCTGGAGGTGTCGCGCCGGCGCTGAGGGCGCATGTCCTTCACCTGCCGTCGGTCCTATAGCAGCGGCGGCGGCGGCCATGTGCTGATGTTGATGCTGATGTTGATGCTGATGTTGCTGCTGATGTTGATACTGATGCTGAGGGGAATACAACGCCTCGGACGGCAAGCCGAACAGATGTGCCGTCGGCCAATGCGGCGTATCCGGTCCCGCAGAGGAAATGTTGCTAGCGCTGCTTGCAGGCGAGACAATCTTCGTATTTGCAGCGACAAAGCCGCCTGGCTGCTGCTCTTGCTGCTGGCGAGCGTGGTAGATGGTTGACTGGTTCAGTGGCTGCGCCTGCGCGTGATGGAGAAGCAAGACACCTTGCTGCTCCGCTTCGCCTCTCTTGCTGTTGAGCGTCTGCAATGTGCCTTTCGGCTCGCCAGCGCCAAGCAATGCTGTACCTGCACCTGCAGTGGCGGCTGCGGGTGCGAGTGCATTGCTGCGCCGGCCCATGCTTGGGCTGAACTGTGCCGAGTTTGCAGTAAGGGTGGTGGCAGTAGTGGAAGAGAACAGAGTAGAGCCAGAGGGCGGGGTAGGAGAAGAAGCGAGGGTGAGACCGGAAAGTACGGAAGGTGCAACGAGCGGGCCCTCGCCTTTGGCGCTACGCGTACTGGCACGACGGGAAAAGAGCGCTGAGGTGGCAGCGGGCGAGCCAGCGGGGGCAGAGCCAGCAGCAACAGAAGTTGTTGCTGAAGATGGCGGCAACGCGGTCCCAGAAGGGACGGAAGCTTTGTCTGCTGCGAGCGCATGCTCTTTCGCTTGCGCTGCTTGAGGCTGAAGCTGCGAGGCACTAGCAGCAGTACGCAGGCGTACAGATGGCCCAAAGCTGCCGTTTCTGCCTGTTGCAACCGCTATTGCAGTTGCTGCAGTTGCAGCGGCTGCTTCCCGGCCTTGACCACTGGTAGCAGCGCTGCTTCCAATCATATCAGCAAGGGCGTTGTGGCTTCTGCTCTTTCCCTTCAAGCTCGCCTTGGCGCTGCCCACGCTTGCAGTCGAGACATCGCCGCGCGGCGCGACAAGCCTGCCGTTCATGCCCCCGGACCCTGCGCCGAGAAGCGCGACAACACCAAGGTCCGCGGAGGGCGACAGATGGCGGTCGACAAGTCTGAGCGTCCTACCAGCCGCTTTGTCCACGTGTTTGCTCCTGTTTCCTGTGCTACTCTTCTTCCTTTTAGCCGCAAGGTCCATCATGAATTCATCTTCATTGTCGCTGGTGCCTGGGACTGGGGCGACGCGCTCAAAGTTGAGCAGGCGCGCCATGCCGGCGCTCTCGCTCAGACGGGAAAGCGACTGCTCGCTGGCGGCAACGCCACCACTACCACCCATGTCGAAGCTGTCGCCGGTGCTGGAGCCGTTGGATGAGGGAGTGCTACTAATCTGGCTCAGCGGCGAGCATGTATCCATGAGCGGCGAGGCGTGCTCAGAGGCAAACATCGAGAATGGGTTGGCAGCCGAACTGCCCGCGTGGATGTCGCAATCGAGGTCGAGATCAAAGGCTTTGCCGGGAATCGCAAGGGCGCCCACGTCGTCGTCTTTGGCATAAAGAAAAATGATTAGCGGCTTTGCTCCTGGAGTATGAGAGCACCGAACAAGAAGCCTCCTTGGAAGGAAGCGGACAGCGAACTCACGTTTGGAAATGAGGGTGAAGCTGCTGTCCATCATGCCTCTGATTTCTGCATCCGCCGTGAAATCGTCCTGCCAGCCGCAGTTGGCACGGGCGCGATCAGCAGTGCTCATGGCACCACGCCGGAGGCCGAGTGCTGTTGTTCGCATTGTGGGAATGCTTAGTATAGAGAGGGATCGAAAGTTTTCCTGGAGAACGGGAGTTGCGAGGGAATCGACCAGCGATGATGGGACCAAGCGACAGGGTGGTAGGTCGGATCTTTTGCGAACAGAGATTAAATGGTCAGAAGAGATTATGCGCTGGAGAGCGAGCGTCTCTGGTCGTGCAAGTTGAGAGGGACCTGCCTCTCGGAAGCGACCCGCGTCGCCGAGACTGGATACAGAAAGGAGCAAGTTTGGGAGAAGGGAATGGAGGGTGTGGATGCCAGAGATCTACTGCATGGCACTTTTCGAAGGGGTGGAAGAAGCAGGAAGGTGGAAAGAAGGAATGGGATGAAAGAAAAGACGGCCTGGAGAAGAGATGGTGAGAGGGATGAAAGAGTGACAATGCAATTGAGGTCTCAGTCGACCAGATGGAAAGAAGATGAGAGACGGAAAGATTGCATCGGCGGATGCCTGCTAGGAGGCTTGGAGAATGATGGAATGCTCGATGGCCCTTTGGTCAGCAACGAGTAGTCGGCCAGCCGAGCATCGCTTGCTTCTCCTCTTGGGATCAGTGTACAGAGTCACGTATCGCAAGTACACCCTTGAGGGAGGGGAGTTGGGCCAAGATCAGAGCATATCAATCTCACGAAGGGATCCTACTCAATGAGGAAGATGATGAGTGACGATGCAATCTCAGAGACTACATACCGCGACGATCATCATTGAGCGGCTGATGTGACCTCCCAGCCACTGAATTGCACTGCAAGAGGCCGGAGAAAGTAAGCAGAGAGGGCAAGCAAGGCGTGAAGTTGAGCATGTCAATCTACAGGGGCCAAGACTGGCCCCGCTCTGCGCTGGAAAACATATGTGGTCAGTCACTCAAAGCAGCCATCGCCGGTCCGACTGACGTGTCATGCGGGCTTGCGCTGAAATAGGAAGCTGGCTAGGTATGTACTCCGTAGAGCCGACTGCAGTGAGCGGATGATGAGAACTTGACTGATGTGCAGATCCGTCAAGTCGGTGGCCTTGCCATTCATCAGCCGACCAGACCCTGGCAAGTGGCGCTAGAATCTAGTCCACGCGCGCCGAGGCAGGGCGAGATGCAGGCCCCGTCGTGGCGGCGAGATAGGGACAGGCTGGGAATATGTATGAACCTTCCATCTGGAGGGAAGCGAGGGCTGGTCTCACACCCATTCCAACACCCAAATTCTTCCAACGGTCGGTCGCGTCCGTCGGTTGGTCCTCCGCTCGACTCTCCTGCTTGCGTTGTGGTCTCCGCAAGGATTGAAAGCATTCGGACTTCTCGGAGGAGTCTTCGGAAGAGACGACAATGGAGAGGCATTGGGCCTGTGTTTGGTGTAGAGTTCGACTAGATTCGACGCCACACAGGGGCTAGGTGGCACAGTTGTGAGAGCGCGGGGTTGCACCGAATCTTCCACTTCCCCCACAGCTCCGCCTGAGGATTAGGGTGACTGAGGTCTGACTGTCTGGCACTCTGCTTGCCCTCCGCTTTTCACATACCCCGCGCCTCTAAAGCATCATCGGGCCGGCGTCAAGAGATCCGACAGTCACCGAGAGTAAGCAAGCGAGGTACGCGTCAGCCTGACGGAGGCTGCGCAGAGGTCGTGTTGTCTGACATACGACGTACGGCACGGCGCTCAAAAGCGTGATTGACGGCCCAGCGCGAGACGTGGCCGGTGTGACCGTAACACATAAAGTGCTCATCTGTTACGCACCACGCATACACCATGGCTGGCGTACGCCCGAGCATCGGCCTGCTCCTCTCCCAGTTCCACGTGACGAGGGGTAACGAGGTGGCGTGCTGCTATCCCAGCAGTGAGCGTCGGAGCCGGCGCAGCACACAGCCCAGCGTCGTCCTGGGCAGGCGTGGACCGAAAACTGACCTGTCTCTATTGCACTCGCCTCGCTTCTGCTTTCCGCTTGCACGCAGGCCTACACACCGACGGCCTCGAATGGAAGGTCTTGCCGAGTGGCGGGCATCTGGTTAGCAGCGATGTCATGTATGTCTCTTCCTCCCAAGGAGGACCTCCTTCTCACGCCTCCTCATTCCTTTTGCCGGTGCCTCGCCGTGGACAGCGTTCTGATCTCTGCCGTCCTTTGCTTGCCTTCTGACGGTACAGCCTCTTCGAGACGCCAACCCCGGAGAAGCGCATTGAAAATCGCAGTGGGATAGGGATTGCTGTCTTTCGCAACCTCAGGCTTGATCCTGCCGGTCAAGCACCCTCCGATGCAACTGGAACGGCCACCCGCAGCTCAACAAACAGACAACGCGGCGCGAGGATGTTCAGCGCAAGCTTGCTTGTCCTCTTGTCCAACGATGCAGACAGCGCTCCGTTCAATCGAGGCACGGACGCACAAGCCGGCGAATCCCCATCGCCCTTCTTCAAATCAAAAGCAGCGTCAGAAAAAGTGCGTCAGCGGATTTACACGCTCGCTCTGCCAGCTTTACAGCACCTCGCAGCCGAGGTTGCGCTCCTGCTACACGCACAGCCAGACCTTGACCTCTCCAATTCCACTGCCGCTACCGCAGGCACAGGGTCCCCATCCTCTCATCTGGTCGACGTCAACTATACAGATGCAGCGAAACAGGTTTCGAGCATGCTCGAGCAGGCGCACGGGCGCTTGACTGTTGCCTTGTCGACGCTAATCGACGGGTCCATTTTCACAGGGCCTCCTCAAGTACAACCCCTTCTACCATCCCACGCGAGCATCCACTCGCTCCCAGCACAGCACGCCACTTTTGGGCCCCTGCTCCTAAAGCTGCTGAAGGTACTATTACCAAGCTATCTCCCCGGCACATACTCCTCGTCGCTCTTGGCTTCTGGAATCGCTCCGTTAGCTAGAGCGCGACCGCGAGCCCCACGTGTGCTCATTTACACACCGAGCGGCAGCAGCAAGGATGCAGCTGGTCGAAATGGAATTCAAGAGGGCATGGTGCAAACGGCATGTGTATTTGCAAGCAACTTGCTCGTCCTCCTGGAAGACATAGCCGCACAAAATTCAGGTCACCTTCACCACCTCCACCATCATCATCGGCAGCGTGAGGGCGGTGACTTTGGTCTACGATTGCGAGGCTACGTTAGCGTACATGACCTCGTCGCTCTAGACGCTGAGCACAGGGCGGCAAATGGTGCCAACGCAGAGGAGGAGGAGAGAGGCTCGCGAAGTGGCTGGCTTGCTGTCACGTCCGATGCCATCTTGCGCGAAAAGACGACTCTGTTCGATATCCTGCTCGACCTCTCCCCTCTTGCCTGCCTGCCTGCTTCCGCCACTGTCGCCGGCGGAAACGAGCATGCACCAACCGCGTTGCCGCTGCTATCCATGGTCGTGGATGATTGCGGCAGCGAAAGCAACGATGGCGGGAGGAGAGCGCAGGGAAGGAAAGGCGCTAACCTGCGCCTGCGCAGGCTCAATTGGACAGCGCGGGAGTTCGGAGCGTGGGACATCATCGACCGCACTGCTGAGTTCACACTGCAGGAGCGCGAGGCAGCCCTCATGCAGCAGTGTCAGCGTCACCGAGGCAAGAGCCAGAGCCAGAGAGGGAAGGGGCCCGCTCAGCAACAACTGGAACAGGAAGCTGAGGAAGACAATTTACTTCATGTGCCTGGTGCGATGCCACAGCCGTCAAGGTCCACGCCCGGCCGTTCCGCCAGGAGCAACAGCAGCAGGCACAGTTCGCACCACTGGGTCACCACCCTCTTTGCTTTCCTGCACTTCTGCTGCGCAGGCTGGCCCACAGTCTCCGTGCTGCTCTCATTCATTTGGCGGCGTCAGCCCGGAAGCCTCGCACTTCACACTGGCAGTGGGAGGGCCAACAGCGGCGGCGGTTCCCAGCTTGCGTTGGGGAATCTGCTGGGTGGCAGAGATGGGCGGGAGGCAGAGGCTGAAGGAGACACTCAGGAGGAGGACGATGATGTTTCTGAGCGCGTAGAGACTGAAGGAATAGACGAACAGGTGCCAAGCGGAGGCGGGCGTGGCCCTCTGATTATCGCTAAACGCGGCATGGGCGCAGAACAAGACTTGACACACGTTAATGAAGCTACCCTTGATGATGCAGACATGGCCGACGCGACACTGGCACTGGCGCTGCAGCAAGCATGGGTCGACTGGGGCGCGTCTCTGCTGACAACCGTCGTGGACGAAGTGTTGCGAGATGTGTCCACAGCGTCCACGGTCGTCAAAGCAAGCGCTATGCGCCGTGCAGGTCTCAGCGTCTGCAATCCGGCGGACGTTGAGCTCGTGCGTGCCGTTGCCACAAGCCCGCGCTCGGCGCAGCATGTCTCCTCGCCGCCGCGGCAGCTGGAGTTCCAGGCCGGCTGGCGTGGGCTCTTTAGCTGGTGAACATGTACACAGCTCAGCACAATCAACTCAGCGTAGCCCAGCAGACGCATCGAAAAATACCAGACAGATTCAATTGCTAGATCAAGTAATGTTACATCGTGCAGAAGAGCAAGCGGGCACGGCGAGCCAAGGGCGATGCCTGCGCCCGGCTTACCTCAATTAATAAATCGTTACAACGTCGTGATTGCGTAGACCCACATAGTGGGCCAAAAAGGGGGAATACTTGCAACGCGTGGATAAGGAGGGCAGTTCACATCACAACACACTCCTTGGTTTCGCGTCGGTTCCGCTTGCAAAAGTCGCCGGACAGATCGCCAGACGCAGCCGCAGCGCGGGGCGTGATTTGGCCACGCTGCAAATTGTCATGACGATCAGCGAAGTGCGAGGTGACGCCGACGCTGACCCGCCGCCGATGCTTGGAATTTTCCGCCTGGTGCGACGGCCGAGGCAGGTCCATGCTCAGGTGCGGTGTGGAAACCATGCCCATCGCCCGAGAGGATGTGATGTTGCGAGCCGTGGACTGCACAGGACTCAGGACGGCAGTTGCTGGTTTGTCGGACGAAGGGGACCGGGCGACAGAAAGGTTGGAGATGCTGGAGATGCTGGACGCACCCGAGATGCTTCCATAGCTCATGGTGCTCTGTCGACGCAGCTGCTTGTCTTGCGAGCTGCTGAGCGAAGAGCGATGATGCAAGTCTGACGAGAACGGAGAATCCGTGCTGCTGGAGCGAGATGGCATGAATGATGCACGCTTGACCTGACCGCCAGATTCTTTGCCTTGGCTGCCTGTGCTACCAGCAACAGGTGATGGAAGATCATTGGGTGACGTGCCGAAAGGCGAGGGCGAGAAAGGTTGCATGCTTTCCGACCCCTTGCTTGTACGACGCTTGCCAACGAAAGGGAAGCGAAAGCTAACGGGCGAGAATGCAGGTGACTGGGGCATTGACGGCGTGAGGGAAGGGGCCGGGCTTGTCACCCGCCCCAAGTCGGCTGATGGCCTCGCAGATGCGAGGAGCAAGTGCGCACGAAGATTGCAGGGTAAAGGTGCTTGATTAGCGCAAGACGCGTGGCAAAGCAAACCACACTCTTCGCATAGCACGGCGTGTTTCTTGACCTTCTCTTTGCAAATCCTGCATTGCAGCGGTTTGCTGAAAGTGGATTTCACGAAGGCATGAGCTTTGGGAACTTCCAAAATCTCGTCGTGATCAACGACGGTCGAGTCCGCAAATTGTGTCCGGTCCAAGTCGCCTTCGTCCATGAGTGAAATGATCGGATTTCCTCCATGTACGGGAGTTGGGGTGATCAGGGACAGCCCAGGCCTAGACACATCGCCGATCGAGGCCCTTCCCTCAATAGCCGATGTTGAAGCAAGACGGGCGGCAAAGAAGGGACGGCGTGAGGAGGATGGCGGCGGCGAGGAGGTCGACCTCTCTAGGGTCGGCGATTCAGGCACGGCGATGAAGGTCGATGGATCGAGCCTTCGAAGGTCTGCACTGATGCGGCGCAAAGCGGGGACGCTGTCCTGCGGACGAAGGTCCTTCTGTCCCCTCCACACCTGGTCCAACCAAGGGTGACCAAAGAGCTGTTCCGCGGTTGGTCTCTCAGTTGGCTCCTTTTTGAAGCATTGCCTAAGCAGGTCTTTCAACTCTTCTGAAGCAACTTCGGGGATAGGAGGACAGTCATCGACAACGATGCGGAACATGGCCGACATAGCCATCATGCCACCGTATGGAGGCCGTCCAGTAAGCAGCTCGATGATCGTGCAAGCCAAGGACCATATATCTGCGGCCGTCGAAGCGCCTCGCAGCTCGATCACCTCCGGGGCCACTGGAGGTGGAAGTGTTTCAAATCAGTATCCCCCTAAAGCAACAAGTAAATATTCTTCGAACTCGACTCACTCCAGTTCGGGGTCCCTACGGCCTCTTTCTTGTGGTTCTTGATCTTCTCCATCGCCTTCAGGTTGAGAGACACTCCAAAGTCGGAAAGCTTGATGTTTCCTGACTTCGTGGTCAAAATGTTGGCTGCCTTGAGGTCGCAATGCACGACACCCTGTTCGTGCAGATATGTCAAGCCTTCGAGAATCTTGATGACGTAGCTGGCGATGAGTTTTTCCGGGAAGTTGCCGAATGCTTTGAGCTGACTGAGTAGCGAGCCATTCTCGACGAACTCTAGGATGATTGAAAGCGCCTCTGGCTCGCGTACTAGGCCTTCGTATTTGACCACGCTTGGATGTGACAAACTTTTTAGGAGAACAACTTCATGCATCAGTTGCGTGACCTCCTCCTCTGATCTACCCTCGAGATTGATGCTCTTGACCGCGACCATTTGACCCGTGTTCATGTTTAAGGCACGATACACCGAGCCAAATTGACCCTTGCCGATGCGATTCCCGAATTGCTGAAGGAAAAAAGGCTAGTCACATTTTTGTATATGAAGGCGCGCCTCCCGCCATCGCACACTCACATAGACGATTGGTGGCTCCCCTGGCACGGGAACAAAGAGCTTGTGCTTCGGGCCTGGGGCTGTACCGCCCGAGCGCGACGGAGGCGTGCTAGAGTCCTCACCGGTGGCAAAGCTTGCCTGAGTGTTGTTGTATGTTGACGTCACTGCTGAATCGTTTCTATGCCGTGGGAAAGCGATGCCAGGTTGCTCGATGGCATTGTCTGACTTGGAATTCTGAACCGCACTCAATGTGACCGGCAAATCAGATGAGAAGCGATGATGCGCAGGACGAGTGGGCGAAGTCAGAGAGGTAGGCGAGGTGGGTGAGCCGAGCGTCACCGCCAAGGAGGCTTCAGAGGCAGATGCGGCTCCAGAGAGAGACAAGTGTCGATGCAGACGTTTCGCTCCTGGTGAGTCGGTCGAGGAGGCCGAGCGCGGAAATGGCAAACGCGGCGAAGGGAGGGGACTCCCATTCCCATGAACGGTGGGCGATGCGAGCGAGTCGCGTTGCGGGTTCAACGGCGACGGCGTGGAGCGTCCGACGCCGCTGTGGCGTCGATGGGGTGTGTGTCGCACTGGTGTGGCCGTGATAGCGGCACGCCAGTCATCCAGATTCTCGCTTGAAGCAGCCGCAAATCCGAGCTGCAGCTCCATACTAATACGGCGCTGCGAAGACGTGCGTGTCATAGCAGATGACGTTGGGAATTGGGTACTTAATGATGAAGGAGGCAGCTGACTCGGCTCGGGAGGTGTAGGAGCACGTGGTGAGCTCATGATCTCTTCTGGCTCCTCCGCTACTTCTGTCAAGCTTAGCGCTGATTCGCTAAGCTTCCGATCGCGATACGGAAGCCGACTGGACATCTGCTCTTCATCGTACCCAGCACTACTCTTGACGTTGTCCGCGAATGTGATCGAGCGAGTGCTGACATTGTTGCCCAACTCGCCTGATCTCCGTCTGCGCGTCCGGTCGTCCGAAACAGCAGAACTAGTGGCAGCATCACTGTTGCCAGCGCCGGAGACGAGTATACGCTCTGCCTCTTTGCGCTGCTGCAGCACGCTCAAGCGCGAGCTTTGCTGGCTGCCCGCGCGGGCCGGTGAACCATGGGGTGACTCTGCGGTCGCCATGCTGTCGAAACTAATGTCCAGAGAGCTCCTGCTTGCGAGATTCGACGCGCTGAGGCGCTGAAGCGAGATGGGCCGCCCCTGGAGGTACATGCCGCTGCACCTGCCTTTGGAATTTGAGCCGGCCTTCTCGATCGCGAGGATGGTCAGGACAGCACGTTGCAGACCCTCTGTGGTTGAATCGGTAATGTCAAAGCATTGGAACAGATCACGGGATGCCAGCCCCAACTCGTCGCGCGCCGCTTTCAGGAAACGGGAAATGTTGTCCGCTTTGACCCATTCGACGTCGCGTCGGTCTATCTTCTCGACTGAGCCCGGGCAGAGCTTGTTGGCCAACAAGGAGAGCAGGACGCCGTCACTCAGTGCCCTCCAGAATGCCAGCTGCTCCTCCGCCCACGCCTCGTCAGAACAGTCCCCTGAGTCCTTCCACGCAACCTCGTCTATCCGACTGCGATCCTGCGGGTCTACCAACTCTCGAATCGCGCTCAGTTCGGCTGAAAGGTACCTTCTCGCGGCTCTCAGCTTCGACATGGCTTCCGCGACATCATACTTGGCATCGACGCCATCACCCTCTGCTTCTGCATTCTCGGACGTCAACGCCTTGACTTCATGCAGAATCCGATCTGCCGCTGCGAGGGTGGGCGCGACTGAGGCGATCCTTGAGTCCGTCTGCGCTGACGAGCCACTCGGCAACCTCCCACCCTGTGTGCTCCACCGTCGCGGCCGTTTGATCCAATTGGACGCATTGGAGAGCGCGTAGCCGAAGCCGGAGCCTGACAGGCGTTGCCGGCCGCTGGCGCTCCTGCTGCCGTTGGTGTTGTGTGTGACAATGGCCGCCGGGTTGCCTTTGGAGCCGATCGGGCCGTTGGCATCGTTCTCAGACGGCTCCGCTCCCGAGCCAAGACGAGACTTGGTCGCTGCTGACGAGGCCTTGCGCACAATCGTCGCGATGCTCGATTTGCGCTCGCGCACGGGCGGCCGATCGCCTCGTGCAAAAGAAGAGAACGAGGTACTGAACAGGCGTAAATCGCCGCCTTGCTGTCGTTTGTGTGCGTTGGACGACTTGGCGAGAGCACCGATGACGGCAGTTAAGCTGGAGAAGCCGTTCACCCCGTCGCGTAACGTCTCGTCAATGCTTGCTGCACGGACCTTAGTCTGCAGCATCGGAGGCGGACCCTTCCCAAGCACCTGCTGCGAGATCCGAAGATGGTACCTTGGTTCTTCCATGCTGATCAACGGGTCAGACGCCAGATGAAGCTCTGGTGTCGAGAAGGATGCCATGTCAAGCTTGTGATAAGCGAGTGGATGCTGTTGTGGCTCATCTGCGCCTTTAGCAGCCGAAGCGATGAGCACACTATCATTGCCGGTCGAACTCTCGGAGGAACCCTCCTTGCGATGCGGCGATGAAGACGAGCGAGGCATCGCCGCTTCGTCCGCAGAGGAGCGCTCGCCTGAGGTCCGCGCGCTGGAACGGCTGCCGGTATCAGCACTCGAGCGGCTCGATCTTGACACCTGACGCTCGGGCGCCGTCGACTGCGGTGCTGCTGTGCCAGCAGACTGCGACAGCATCGAGAACGAGTTGAAATCCAGAGGTGACGTGGGCGACAAATTCGCGTTGTGATTACTGGCGGGCGTCTTCTGATACGATGGCCGACGCGAGGAAGGTGGATAGGAGGGTGTCGTCGGGGTCGAGACGCGCTTCGAGCGCCTATAGTCCCCAATCGACCGGCGCGACGGGATCTCGATCGGCCCGACGTCTGAGAAGCTGATGCTCCCACGCTGCGTCTTGATCTCTGAATCGGAAGGGGTGACAGAACTGGCGCCCGCAACAACGATGTTGTTGTTGCTCTGGTCCGCGACACTGGCGGCGCAAGCAGACACGAGGCTCTCCTGCGAAGACTCGGCCATCTCCGGAAAGCGCAGTGGACTCGGTACCTGTTGCGACGACGAGCAGGAAGACACGGATGCCACCGACGATGAAGACTGTTCCAGAGCACCCCCCGGTGTGGCCGGTCTCATCGCAGCCGCCATCGTGATGGCGCGCGCTCGGGGGGACCTGGGCCGCGAGCTGGACTCTCTGGGGTGGCGGCCTGTGGCGTCACCGCTGCTGACGCTTGTTTTGCGCGGGGAGCCGCCGCCCTCGGAAAGTCGCGTTCCGCTCGCATGCACACGGTGCAGGGGCGAGCCAGATGCGACAATCGCCTTGCAACTGAACGAGGACGCGGGTGAGTGTGGAGGCGTCAGGTCGACCGGACGCTGCGTGATGGCCGCCATCCGCGAAGAGTTGCGGCAAAGAGAACAGGATGGGTCTCAGGCGTATAACGGTACTTGCAAGCCCCGTGCACTTGTACGGCTACAAGCGTATGTATAAAAGGCTGACCAGCATCAGATATTGGAGTACGCGAAAAAGCTGAAATGCTGACTCACCAAGACGACGGAAAGCCTAGCATACACCCTTAATTTGGTGCGTTGTAACTTGCTGGCTGATCAGAGCGCTTTTCTGCGAGCACGACAAGTAATGCGAGCACATCAGCACATCATGTGCAAAGAGCAAGGGATCGGGGACTGCCGTCAGCATCGATCGGGGCCATCATGGCTGATTCGTCATGAAGGGTTGCCTCGTCCACTGATCGGAGTGTCGCAGATATCCGAGGGTTCAAGCGTGGCTCTCCTCACTTGCACCTCGAGCTGCCGGTAAGATTGTTGGGACTCCCTGATTCTGACTTTCCCTTGCTTGAGAGTGCCGCGGAATGCTCACGTCGACGAACAGTGATGTGTTTTTCCCGCGTTGCACGTCCTGTCTGTCCCTAACACAATGTACTCACACTGATTCGATTCACGCGCAGCGATGATGGGAAGAAATGGGAATAGAAGTCGGACTGAAAGACGAAGACAATGTAAGCAGTCTTAACAAAAATCGGTACTCCAACGTCATCATCCTTCTACGTCGTCGCAGTGGCCCTTGCTAGCGACAGCTGGTTTAAGGTGAGTGTCCCGTAGCTCTTCCTGAACCCCCATCCGCATCTCTCCCGCCCCCTTGATCGCGAGAGGAAATTATTTGATTTGCTCTGGCGTCACAAACGTTTGAGACCCTCTGGATCGCTCACTCCGAATCAGGGCGAATGTAGGTGACTCTTGTTTGTTCAGGCTTCCGCCATCACCCGCACAGCCCAAGCGAGATTGGCCAAAGAAGTCGCGTTTGATCGCATCCATCAGTCGGCTCATGAAAAAATCGAATGAAACAAATTTCATAAGCACGAGGGTGCGAGTGCACCCGTCGCAGCTGGTTTGGGCCGGACGTGACGTATGGCCGAGCGAGAAAAGACGGAGGTACGAGTGTCGCTCCTTGATGGTCACCTAACAGTGGGTTTATGGCCGATTACGAGGAGCTAGCGCACGCGACGCTTATCTCTAACAGCCCTCTACTTTGTCTCCTCGGCCCCCTTTGACCGTGTTTCCTTGCTGAACGCGAGTTCACGTGGGCGATACGATGGACAGCCCGACTCACCCTTTTGCGCCACGTCAGCTGTAGCAGTTGTGGCAGATCTAACTGCGCATCTGATCTGGCATTGGTCACCATGTGTCTGCGCACCTGCGATGTTGCTTGGTGGCTATGGCGCGCTGCTGCGAGCAGGCAGCTGACATTGATGAGAATTCCGACGCGGTGGTGGCAGGCGATGGGGTCGCGCTGCAAGCCGATGTTATTTCGAGTCGATGGTGGATTGATGATGGCTGCGAGGTCCTCTCCCGGCGGTCGCGGCGGCAGCAGCAGTCACAACAGCCAGGACTGTTCAAAGCACTTGTTCTGTGTCTCTCTTCCGCTTCAGCAGCAGCGGCAGTAGATTTGAAAGGAGCGGCCGAGCTGGAAATAAAATGGCCCTCCCTCCTCTCTCCCAATGACTAGCAGGAGAGGCGCACCTCGTGCCTGTCCCCGTGTCGACGCACGGGCACGCGGGTTAAATCCTACAGTGCCGAAAAGCAGAAAAAGAAAGTAGTAAAGCTCCGATCGATCACAGACGCGTGCTCACTACAGCCCACTGCGCCGTTCGATGCTGCTTTGTACGATGCGACGCGCAGGCTCACAGGCTCTGTGGCTCTGTCCAGCATTGCAGCACTCTTGTCGCCCAAGTACTCGAACACTTGACTTCACCAGTGTCTTTCTTTCTCTTTCGATTCCCGAAAGCTTGTTGATTCTGTCCCACCTCTGGCACTACATGGCACCCATCCGGCCCACGGGCCATGCCAAAAGTCTCTCCGCTGGAACACGACGAGTTGCAATGGGATACATGGTCGACTAGAAAACCAAAAGGGGCGGGCCACTTTTGGATCGTAAAGAACACGGACCCCAGATGCCATGCAAACATCGAGAATCGAACACTTTGTCGGGGCATCCCGATTGGGATGACCAATACATAACAGTGCAATGAACTGATGAATTGACGCGTTTGTAAACTATATTCCTTAATGGAGCGTTGACGTGTGGGCCTGGCCATACAACACTATACAAGGCTGACGTACTGCCCTTGAGTGCTGGAGCCTCGAGGCAACTTGTACCTGGCCACCACAAGCCTACGGGTCACATGGTCACAAGTGACCTGCGTCACAACAGCTCTAGAGGTCGAGATCAACCTGTTGGGAACCTGCAGAGTACAGATCAATGCTGCAACTAGCTGTAGCACGCATGTTCTTTTGGGAGAGGCTTTTAGAGATAGGTGGCGCTGCGGTGTGTGTGACAGACACTCCAAGGATGTTGATATTTTGGTGTGAGGCTCATCGAAAAGCGCAAAGCAAGCCTGACAAAAGGCGAAAGGAAGGAGAGTTGGTGACTCCACGCAAATCTCACACATGCGGGCACCTGGCTAGCTGGTGGACGGCTCTCCTTTTCGACCAAGGGCACATGGACGCACTATGTATGTCGCGTGAGAGACAAGTACATATGCATGTGTACATTGTGAGAGTAGTGGCGTCCTGGCGGCGCTGACGCCGTTCGTTGGCGACGAGTCCAAGTCGGGTAAGTCATCATCAAGTGCACGCGTGTGCCCACTGTCGTTCGAGGGCACTTTAAGATCTCCAGAAGAGCAGATTCTCCCATGATTGGAAAGTATTCCATATGCATCGGCAAAGGCGGGCTTCTTTTTGAAGTTTGCAAACAACTGACCATTTATGTTTGGAACGTGTTAAAGACGAATCTTGCCGTAAATGACGGAGTGAAAAATGCTAGAGAAAGTGGTTACTTTCTCAAATCTTCCGTAATCAAGTGCTAGGAGTTCTGCCCAATAGGGGGCAACCTGGCGGACCGCCAGTCTGCCACGCTCATCATCGCATCATTGTCGATATTCGATCCTTGGCCAGCCCACCTTTTCTCGACCTCACTCTACTCTGCTTCATGTTACAGCTCGACATCAACTGCTACAAAAAAACCCCCAGTTCGGATGTGTGCGGGACCACAGGCGGGACCGGGTTGTGGTCTAGAACATGCGCTAACAAAAAGGCCAGTAGTCACAGCATAAATAGTCAGCGTCTTAGGGTTTGGTCAGCAATGTAGTAAGCAGCGATGCAAGAACGCTTAGATATCTGAACGCTGAGCACCGAGAGTTGAGAGGCAGTTTCGCTACATATTCTTGTGCACATCACTTTGGTGTACTGCATATGCTGGCGACAGATGTTTTGGAGACGAAGGCGATCGTTTTTAGCTTCCCACGTTGCCTTGCCAACGCTGAGCGCGAATGCTGTGCGCGTCGCTGTTGTCTCCAAATCGCTATCCATCTGACCCCGGCATGAGAACTGGGTAGCGAGGCTGTTCACGGGGCTCCCAATATTTCCACATCGACTTGGGATAAGTTTTAACCACACCGCACGGGGTAAAGTAGTTAGGATGCGGATAAGACACTCTTCATGGGAACTTGTAGGCTCTACATCTTGACTGCTTCCCCTCCAACTTCCAGCAGCGTTGCCACTATCCATAACTATCGGTCATGTTGATATCAATATCACGTGCGCGAGCATGAGTGAAACAGGTGCAAAGTATATTGTTTGCGAGCTCGTGGGAGTCCGGATAAATTCACAGGATGCCTCTGCTGTCGCAAATACAAGTCGAGACCTGGAAAAGAATTGAATATCCCCAAGCCGTCACCATCTCAACTCTCCCGGTCCTGCTGCGGCGCGGAGTTCTTAAAATGGGCCCAGGGTCCTGCTAAAGAAGGGTCTGACGGTTTGGCAGAAATGACGCCCAACGCGTATTCCTGAAAAGGAGTACGCATAGCCTTCTTTGGAGGAAGCAACTAATTTGCACGAAGGATCCTGAGGGCTTGTCGCAGGCTTTGATTTGGATGGAACTTTTCAGCCTTGCTGCTTGCTATGTAGGCTGAAGCTTTCTGCTTTTTCCAGGCTTCAGCGCCTTGTCGCTTGCAATAAAATATGTATCTTTGCGTGAATCTGAGCGGTTCTGGTCTCAGGATGAAGTGGAGAACAGCCACTTGATGAAGTGACGAAGGCAAGAGTAGGAGGGAATGAGAGAGCTGTATATTAGTGGGAGGCGGTGTATGGGAGTGATATGTTTGGCGCTTGCAATTAATTGAAAATCAGGGTACGATCTTATGATTCAAATCCAATTTTCTCTCTCTCTCCATCGCTTTTTGGTCAGGCCAGCTGCTAGCGCCCCAAGATTGCGGCTCCTATCCAGATTGATGGTATGCACCACTTCGTCGGCCAGGTCGCAGGACGCGGTAGGCGGCCCCAGTCCCAAGGCCCAGATGGCAGATTGTCCAGAATCGGTCTGAGTTCGTGCGACTGTTCGAGTGCTGATGAGCATGCTGTGAGACGCAGTGCATTACAGCGGCGCAAAACAGACAGGCACCAGTCTGCACTGCTACGCAGACCCATGAGCCCGCTCCCTTTAGTTCTTTACATTGGAAGCTTCTTCCTCGACACCCACGACAAGTGTCGACAGAAGCAGTGATATCTGTTTGACAGACGGTTCGTAGCTCCATTGGAAGAAAGGACTCGATGCAGATGCTGTCTGAATAAAGTACGAGACTCAAGACAGAGACGAATTGCAACGTGATTGCATTTGCTACGCACAGGAATACCAGAAAGGAAAAGAGAAAAGAACTGAATACGAAGTTACGATGAGAAGAAATTCTTGTCTAGGAACATCGTGAAAGGGGTGTCGTGACAGGTCATGAAATGGTCGTGTGTACGCGTGAGCATCCTCTTGTGCGCGTTCTGAATCTTGTTGAGTCGGTCACCATCGTTGGGTGATTTCAACGTCTGGCGGCGAATTTGCCGAGCACCTCGCTGAGGATGACAAAGCCGACACCGGCACCGAGTCCGAGCATATACGAAGGAATGGCTCCGATCGAAAGCATTGGCTTTGCCTCGACCTCCAACTCTTCGTCTTCATCGTCTTCGTCTTCACTGCCGATGCATTCCTCGACGGCGACAACTGGCCGGGTGGCGCTAGCATTGGATGATGGCGAAATGAACTGTGGCTCATCGAACATCTGGCGCAAGTGCGGTGTCGATGACGATGACGCTCCCTCCTTTGGCGAGGCGCTCTCAAGCGCGGCGATCTGAACTTCCAAAGCGCCCATGCGGCGCGCGAGGCTTTCGAATCGCTTGCGCTCGACGAGCACCATGCTACGCTTCTTGGTGGAACCTTTGCCGTCGGAAGAAGGCTCGATGCTGTACAGCGGCACACTGAGCTTCTCGCCGATTTTGACAGACTTGAAGCGCGCGCTGCCGATGGGAGTGGGAGGAACGCCGTGATCGGGCGCACTTACACTCTCTTGAATTTGTTCTGGCTCTGGCTCTATCTTCGTCTCGTGCTCTAGCGTGGGTTCAGGCTGAGACTGGAGCTCAGGCGCAGGCTGGACGTTGGCCTGCTCCTGTTCTGGCTCGTCGAAGCCTTCTGGCGGCACAACGGGCGCCTTGCCTTCAGGGACGTCAAACAGCGCCATCATCTTCGAGTGCGCGCCGCTGCTGCCGGCGCGGCACCCGATGGACGCGAGGCCGCTGTTGGCACTGCAGCAGCCTGCATCTCCCTTCTTGCTGAAGCCGGGCACGCTGGTTGCTCCCGCTGCCATTCGAAGCGAGCCGAAAGCGCCGGCGAGACTGGTCTCGGCGCCGCCGCCCTGTTCCTGCCTGCGAAGCAGCGTGGCGACACCCTTGCTGCGCTTGCTGCCGAGCGTGCCCTGCGAGCGAGCGCTGAGACCGAGCGATTCGACGAGCTTCACTTCTTCTTCCGTCATCAGGATTGGCTTCTCACTAGCGTTCGAGACGATGTCTGCGAGCTGCTGCGAGGTGGGAGCGGAGGGAGAGGACGAAGCGCCTACGCTTCCTGGTGCATCTCGTTGCTTCTCTTCCGCCGCCTCATCGGCGACAATGGTAGCAGAGAGCAACGAAGGCACCGCGCGCTGCGAGCTGCGGCGCGAGAGCGCGCCGTACGGTTGGAAGCCACTCTGTGTGTGAGCCGACATATTGCGCATGTGCTCCATGGAGCGCACCGAGTCGCCTGCATCGCTCGCGGCCTCGTTCGCGTGCGCATGCTGCATTTGTCGCGCCTCGATGGTAGGCTGAGCTTGTGCGGCGAGCATGACACCCTGCTGGCCGCTGTGGGCAGCCAAGTGAGCTGCGCTGTCCTGCAAAGACATGTCCACAAGTGCGGGTATGACGCGGCGCCGGGCGGTGCCAAACTTGGGCGAGCTAAAGTCCCAGTCATCATCTCCCTCGTGCACAGCGGCAGCGGCCTGCGCGTCGTGGAACGAAGCGAGCTCCTCCTCCGCAAAGTCAGAGCCGCAGTGCGATTTCGTGCACGAGGGCCGCGCAGGTGGCTGTGGCTGTGCTAGTGCGTGCGCAGCTGACGCTGGGCTATAGTTGCCCAGAGGCGCATGGCGCGCCGGGGGCGAGATCTGGATGGCGGCCTGATATGTAGACAGCGAGTCTTCGAAGAGGTTGCACTCGTTTTGATGCTGCAGAGCCGGCTGGACACGGAGCAAGCCAAGCGCGTCTGGCTGCACAAGCTGCGCTAAGTCCTTCTCGTTCGAATCAGCAGTCACGAGAGCAGACGCTCGCTCCGTTTGCTGCGAGCTCGAGTGCGAAGCGACGAACGGATCTTGCCCGCCAGCGTCGACGGCGGGCGTGAGCGCCTCGTGCACGTCCGAGCCGGAGCTACTGCTCGATAGCTCGCTGGCCTCTCTGCGACTAGGCTCAGACACGAAGACGTGTTCCTGCTCCTGCTCCAGTTCTTGCACTTCTTCGTTCCCTATTTCCGAGCGGTGCTGCTTCTGCAGTGCATGCCCCCGCGACGCGGATAGGGCGTTGATCTCGCTGGGCGTGCCTGTGAAGCTGGCTGTAGGTGGCGTGGTGGCGGCGTCTTGGCTGCCGTCTTCAACGGCAGCTGCTGCTCGCTTGAAGCCGACGCCGCTCTGCTCGTACTCGTCTTGCAGGCTCGAGTAGCTCTGCGCCCGGCAGCGGACCCAGCCGGACTGGTCAGCGTATGCGTGCGCCAGTTCTTCTCTGACCCTGTCCGCGCGCGTGCTGCTCTGCTGCTGCTGCTGGTCCACCTCGCGCTGCCACTGCTCGCGCAAGCTGCACGCCGAGTCTTGGCGACTGAGCGCGACGAAGCCGCCGCCGTCCTCGTCTTCGTCACGCTCGTCGGTCGGCAGCTGTAGCTGCTGCGCTTCGAACGCGGCAATGACACCACGGATCTGCTTCTTGTCGCGCAGGCGCTTGAGCGTGTCGCGGTTCGTGCTGGACGACGACGGCGAGGGGAGTCCGTCGTCGGTGACATGCGAACGCCCGTGCGCGTTCCATGCGGCGATGGCCTCCTGCACGGCGACGGCCACGCCTTCGTCCTCGTCGACTGCGGCATCGCCGCCGAAGTCTGCATCGAACGAAAGAGTTGAAGAAAACGAAGACGAAGACGGAGACGAAGACGAAAGAGAAGGAGAAGAGCGCGGATCGAGGCACAGCCCACTTGGTGCTGCTGCGGTTGCGGTAGCAGAGGGCTCGTATCGGGCGCCTTCAAATCCCCAGATGCGGCCCTTGAGGCAGTCCCGCCTCAGCTTGCGGACGGCCTCCATCATGAGGCGGCGCCAGCGGATGTTGAGGCCCTCGGCCTCGAGGTCCTCCTCGCGCAGGCGCAGAAACACCTTGCCGCCCATGTGTGAGCTGACAACGTACGCGGTGACGTCTGCAATGATCGGCTGTGGGACGAGGCGCAGGACCGAGTGCAGGTACAGCGAGACCTGCGATGGCGTCCAGACCTTGGGGTTTGCCTGCGGACGCAAAGTGGGAAAGTGTCAGCGCGTGCCCAGTTGTACACAGAAGCATGCGAAAGCATGACGCACAGGAAGAACTCTGGCCATAGCGGCGATGCGGTCGTCCGCGGCAGTGGGCGGCGGGCGTGACGCGCCCGCATCGGCGTGCTGGACGACGTTGACGCGGTTGCCCGCCGTCATGGCGGCGGCCGCCTCGGCCGAGGTAATGTCACCGTGCACGGCGGCAGCAGAGGCCATAGCGATCGCCGCGGTAGGCGAGGGTGTTGGAGGGAGGGCGCGCGTGCGCGGCTGCGGCGCTAGCTCGTGCCCGTGCTCTTGCGGCGGCGAAGAGGGGTATGTGGGCGGAGATGGGGGAGGAAGCGAGGACGAGGAGGATGCTGGGGCGGATGATTTGCTACCGGTGCTTTGGTGCATGCCTTTGGCCGCCGTGGGCAGTACGGTCCTGCGGCTGGTGGTGACGACGCTGTTGCTGCGGCCGAGGTAGCTGTACCCCCTCGGTACTGGTCCGCCGGGTGTGAAGCCACTGCAGTCGTCCTGGCTCTTGGACTCGCGCAGCGCCGTATCGCGTGAGACAGGCGCGGGGACGTGCGGGTCAGCCTTGTTGCCTCCGCGCTTGGAGAGGGATGCGGACGAGGAGCGGGAGAGAGCTACAGGCACCGGCGAGTCTACTGCCGTGGTGGAGGACGAGAACGAAGCGGCGGGGAGGGGGGCGGCGCACGGGGATCCGCCGGCGCGGCTGCTGCTCGGTTGGGAGTGCGTGGACCCAGATTCGGAGTGGGATGAGGTGTTGGAGTCGTGCCGGACGTGGCCCGAGGGCCGCGAGGGCGTGCTGATTCCAGGCGAGCGCATGGCTGCTGTCGAACCCGTTGCTGGCATGGCGAGGGTGGCGGTTAGGCTGACGTTACTTGCTTCCCTGCCCTGATCTGCTCTGTCTGGAATGACACAAATTGAATTGCACACTCTCCAGCGCCCAGGCCTGTCGAAGCGGATGCAAGCAAGGACGGGAGGATGCAAGTGGATGGGGGTGATGGAAGAGGATGTGCGATAGGCATACATCACTTTCCCAGAATGGGAAACGCTGTATATAGTGAATTAAAATACTAAGGGAGTAGTGGACAAGTAGCCGACAGACGAGATCCAGGAACCAGACAGGAGTGGGTTGGGCAGCCCCTGACACAAAAAGTAAAGTGACTCTCCTCTCGGCCGAGAGGCTGGCACTACAACCCAGCAACACGTGCCTCAACACGATGCCCACAGGGCCCCGTTAACTCATCCAGAATGGCGAACCCCCCCCCTTTCCATTTCACTTGAGCGTGCGAATCGCATGGACAATATACGGACAGCATCTTCCTTCAGATCAGTTGTGTGCATTGGAAGAATGGCAATATTTGGGTTTGCTGCTGCTGCTGCGAGAGTAAAAGAGACTTACAGAATTGCGGTCCCGCTCGATGCTCTTCTTGCTTTCTTCCATCATCGCATTGTTGTTGGAAGGGAGGACCACCACACCTCCCTGCAATGCAACCCCTGGCTGTGCGACAAAGGCGCTAGAATCTACGTTGGTATGTCCTACCGCCCAAGCCCTTTCCATAGCCTCTCCCACTTGGGCTCTTGTCTTGCATCGATGCATCCGGCTTGTCATCGCCGTAGCGCTAGGTCGCTAGATGCGCATGTACCGATACGCAGCGATCAAGGTGCTTCCGACACGGCTAGTCATACACGATGCCTGAGCGGTGCGTGCCATGAGTGCGCCCACATGGAATGTCCAACCACACTGTAAGGGAGGTGGGGATGAACTTATGAAATCGGGCGGATCCATAGGACGGTCGCGCGCTAGTAGTATATCAACCGGTCGTGAGCGTTCAGCTGGTACGGAGCCGCAGTGCCAAGACAACAACCCAGCAAAAGGCCGGGTGGGTCGTGAGGATGTGATGGTCATCGAGCCGAGTCTGGCACGGCTTTGGTCACAGGCGATCCAGAGCTGTCACCCACAACCAAATGGCCACACAAAGTAGTCCTTGATGTCTTCTACATCTGTCCGTTAGTCTATATGTGGCAGGCAGCGGATCTTCTGCGCGATTCATGTACCGTGCTATCAGCAGGATGCTGTCAGATGCCAAGCAGAGCCCAAGCAGTACATTGTCAAGCCAAATGGCAGTCCAGTTGAGTCGAACACTGGCGTGTTGGTGCAGCGTGGCTGGGTGGGGTGCTGCTGCTGATGCGGTGCGTCGCGCTGCGGCACCAGAGGAGTCAAGGTAGTGGTTTCACCGGTTCGTGTATAAAGAAAGATGTGGCTCCCCCAGTTAGAGCGACAAGTCCAATCATGAGTCTCGTCAGACTTGTCTGCATAGTATCAATGACATGGCCTGGAGGCAGCAAGCATCGACCGAGACGAACAGGACAATCCGCAGTGGTAGGCGCACCTGGACCAGACAGACAGCGCACACCCGCACAACGCATACCGTGCCAACGTACCGCTGTCACGACTGATTCACCTCGGTGCAGATCGCGTGCGAACTTTTGCAAAGGTGGCAGGGCCCCCATCAAGTACATATATACCGATCCCGAGCTATCGGCGGATCGTCGCCGCCAGCCTTGCATTGCCATCTACTTTGTTGCAAGGGCGCACGCGGGCCTTGTGCAGCACGGCCATCATCTATCTCCGCTTGGTCGCATTTGCACCGCCTTTCAGCCCTCCTTTTGAACCCCTTTGGCCCCCCAGCGCCAACCGTTTGCGGCGTTCAAGCTCCAGCTGCGTCGTCAGAGACCCACTCGCCAATATGGACAACTCGCTCGCCACATCCTCCTCGCAGCAGTCGATGCTCTCGCGGCTCGTGCTGGATCTAAGGGGATCCCGCTTCGTCATCGAGCGCGAGACACTTATGAATCTGCCGGAGAGCGTCTTGCTTTGCCTCTTCCCCAATGGCCTCGTGCTTAGTCGGAATGGTGGCGGGGGCATGAACGACGGCGACGGAATGGAAGAGGATGAAGAGGAGGTTTACATGGTCGATGTGAGTGCCTGCTCGCTTAGCCCAATGGAGCTGCTTCGGCTGCTGCACACCTCACTACCAGAAGCTTACGAGGCCCTCGCGCTTCGGCACTTTAGTTCGATCCTGCCTGCCTCTCCTATGTCCTTGCCTTCTTCCGATCAGCCCAAGATGACTTTTACGGAACCGCAACCACCCCTGGTCGGTATAGGGCCGCCCTGTCGCCATCTTCGTCGCAGGGCGACCTCGCGCAACAGCAGCAGCTTCAAGCCGCCGGTATGCTCCCCCTCGGTGGACCTGGTGGCAACCCCCTGCTCTCCAAGCAGACGATCATTGTCCTGCGCGAGGAGCTTGAGTACTTTGCGATCCCCGCCAAGACGTCTCCTTCCCTCAAAGCGCAGCAGCAGAGCGGCGCCAGGCCCGATCTGCCGCCTTTACGCGCCATCGACCACTCGCTACCGGACGCCGCGGCCGCGCTGGCCGCACTCGAACAGGCGTACGATCCCGATCAGAACGAGGAGACAACCAACCTTGTCACCGGAGCGCCGACCGAGAAGCTGCTCTTGCTCAAGCACAAGGCCGGACAGGCTCTCCTGGAACGAAGACACATCTTTACGGCGTTGCAGAGGAATGTCAACAAGGAGAACAACCTCGCTGAGCAGCACTTGATCGATATGCTCTGCATGAGGTGAGTCCCGCCATGCTTTTCGTTTCTCGCTGACTTACATCCCTGCTGATCTTCCGCTCAACGCCCGTGATCCCGCATCGTCTTATGCACACAGCGGTTTTGATCGCTCCGACACCTGGGGTTTCCGCGCCGTCGAGCCTGCGCGGTGCTGCATCACGTCCATCGCTCTGGTGCTGCTCAAGACCGGCATCACGCACGCGGGTGATAGCAAAGGTCTCGAGGCCATTGCGGCGCAAGCCCAAGCTGATGACTCAGCAGCTGCGGACCCTACAGTTGTCGCGGTGCCGCAATACGTCGATGGACCTGGCGGCATGAAGATCGACCAGAATCAGCTTGCCACGGCGCAGAAGCTATTGCTCTTCTGGAGGAAACCTGCGGTGAGCGGTAGCGCTGGCATTTGCACAAAGTGCGCTTCGTGGGGATGTAACTGACATGCTGATGTCGATGGATCTCTGTGAACCTCGCTGCCCTTGCCATGCCTGCATGTCAACGTACACAGCGGAAATGCTGGTGGGACGGCGTCGACGTGGTCGTCCCCATCGATGCGGCCGCAGACAACACCAGCGGCAGCAATGGAGGATTCGCAGCAGCATCAGTGCCATCCTCCACTGCCGCTTCCACGCCCCCGGCGGACGGCGCGCACGCTGTACCCGGCGCGGAAGCCAGTCCGACGGCTGGCATGACGGCCAACGAGTTGGAACTGTTCAGGAGTGGGAAAGGACGTAAAGTTCGTGTGTGGGCCAGGAGAGTTTGGACGCTGGAATTGAGCTTGATCTGATTGCTACTGCTGCCCAAGAGGACGGAAGATGGCAGGGATACGGCTATGGATGCCGTACCGACTGAACTCCAGGGCGCAACCCAACCAAGCCTCTCGTCGTCACTTATAATCCGCACGCTCACACGCTCACACACGACCCCACACCCACACTCTTTTTCGTAGACCCGCATGACATGCTGTGATTGTAACACTACCGGCCCCAAACATCCACTTATACCGATGCACCCTGCACAGTTTTTCTCGTCTGCACCCGCTCCCGTGATCGCTTTGCACTGCTCCAGGCCAGGGCCCCACGAGGCCCGGAGCCCACCCATGGAATGGAAGCCTTCCAGATAGGCCGATTGCCCGTGTGAAGCGAAGCGGGCTGTTTCAAGCATGTATCATATTACGCGCAACTAATCAAAGGAACCAGAATGCGAGAGGTGACACATTTAGAGCTGATACAGTCATGCTGCCACGAGCCGCAGCGGTTGAGTCGGAGTGAATTGTACAAGATCCATATGGGGAAAAAGGAAAGTTGGAGTGAACGCGGTCAATGTCGGTCCAGTGCATTTGACTTGCATCGCGCGCAACCTCATTCCATCGACCTATGCATCATTTGGAGTGCTCAGTCTGGTTCCAGCTGAGATAACTCATGTCGCCTAGACGTCTTGGCTTGATGAGATGACGAGCAGTGAAGAGGAGTCCGAGCAGGACGCACAGGCCTGCGACGGCGATGTAAGCGAGGCCGATGAAAGGATTGCGCCCACCGACCCATGAGACGGTGCTGAAGACAATGGACTTGGTGCCTTTGAACATCGCGACGGGGTAGTCTGCGCAAAGCAAGTTGATCAGGCAGAGTCAAACAGCGTTGGTCAGAGTCGCGGCGAGAAGGAAAACGGGGATACAGCTGAACGAGAGAGAGGAGAAACTCACTGTCATAAATTATGATCCGGTACCTGCCAGCTGCCATGTTATTTTTGTCTTGACGCATGTACAGCTTGCGGAACGTGGGCAAGCCGGCAGTGCGCATCCAGACGGCAAAGTGCTCGTTCTTCGAAGGATGAAACATGGTTTCCTCTGTGTACCTTCCCCCTTGGACGCCAAAGGGGCCAGTGGCGTTTTGCCAGAATGGAGGGGGTACGCACTCGTCTGCTTTGTAAGGCGAGTTGCCGTACTTGGACATCTCGCCTGGCCATACGATGTTGCTCTCGCTCATCACGTACGTGTGGTTCGGCGCGCCACCAACCACGTTCAGCAGGACCGGGTTGCTGAATGTGTCTGCAGTCATAGCAGAGCAGGGGATAGGTTAAAGAGAGCCACAGCCAAAAGGCACCGCTGCAGCGATCTGACAGACAAGTGACCACTCACCATTAAAGATGCTGTTCGCGATCAGACCGCACGGCCAAATCGGCAGCGTGACATTCTGTCCATTCTGCTGCACAGTTGTCTGGTCGACCGGCTTACAGGTACCCTTGCTGAGGTCGTCAACGCTCCTGTACTTGCCGAGCAGCTGATCGGTATCTAGGCTCTTGACATAGCGCCTGTGGTTCTGGTAGTAATTGGTGAGCTTATAGTAGAGGAAGAGCGGCGCTTGCAGCTCGGTCGGCACAGAAAAGTCAATCTGGCATGCCTTACCGCCCGGAGCCTTGGGCTCGTCGACCCAAGCCCACACTGGGTTGTTGAACGTTTGCGGGTTGGCATCGTGCAACTGATAGTTGTACATGTTTGAGGGCATCTCCGCTGGTGAGTCGGTCTTCGGGGCGAGCGTGGAGCATTGCGTGTAATCGAGGGTGAACTCGTTGACTTGGTTGCTGAAGTAGTACAGCACGGCTCCAATCGGCGCAAAAATGACTGCAACTAGGAAGAAAGTCGGCAGGACCGTCTTTGGGGTCAGGATGGGCTGCCATGCCTTTAAGCGTTGCTGCTTGAAGGCGGTATCTGCGAGCAAGGGGCCAGCGTCGCCGGGCCGTCAGCCCACGTTCGCATTCTTCCTGAAGCTTCTCCGCCAAAGAATCATCCTGTGGATCCGCTCACTCGCTGGCTTTCGCGATGTGAAATTGCGCTTGCTTCCGGCTTCCTGTCCTGAATCATTGTCACCACTCTTGCCCTTGAGGTTGGATCGCCGGCCAAAGATGGCCATGTTGGGTCGAGATTCCGCGGGAGATAGCTGACCGCGAGGTTGCGTCGCTCCTCGGGTCCTGATTCCTTTATGCTCTCTGAATCTACTTTGCCGCACGCGTGTCGTCGGGCAGATGTTTAGGTAACAGCCCATAACCAATGATCGTAGGGTCGAGGTCAACTAATCATGTTCCCTGTGAATGTATTGTGGGTTGCAAGCTGTGTTTCGTCCTCGGGCCGCGCCCATCCAAGACGGGGCACACCAACAGTGTCAAGGCTAAGTCAGAGGGGGGGCCCGCTTGGAGACTCCAAGAAGGGGGCCTATGTGCCTGATTAGGGTTAACTCGCTGTCCCTCTCCGGAGAGGCGCCAATGCAGTTTGTTGCAAAGAGCCTGTCGATGGTCAGGTATTGAAAGCGCTCAACCCAAAAATGAATGAGACGCCTTTGCTCAGGACAAGGGCTTGCGTTGGTTGTCTCATGCAAGCAATCGGCGCATGTCCTCGTCACTCCCGAAGAGCGAGTGCGAGTCACATGAGGTTGCACGTCGCCAAAGGGCATGTGCACCCCGCCTGAACGTACTTTTCGTAGGACGTAGTAGGGAACAGTTGAGATGGCACCGTTCGTATAAAGGCCCCCTATATCGTCGGCGGCAAAGGCGAGAGTGCAAAACAGCCGATCGATTACGAAAACCCGAAGCCTACTTCGCGGAGCACTTAAGAAATCACTTTCACCCGTGACTACTTTGGATGCTTTCACGGCCTCTATTTCAAAAGCATCACAGGATGGGTGTCACTACAGCTCATTCAAGAGATAGACTATTCGCCAATTCGGCGTCTTCATCAGCTGCTGGGAGTGTTGGCGTGCGCCGATCGCCTGCCCCGATCATTGACATTGGTGTCAATCTGGCCGCCAAAGCCTATTCTCCGTCCGCCCTACCCGCCATCTTTTCCCGTGCAGCTGAGGCGGGCGTGACGCATTTCCTCATCACGGGTACCTCGCTCCGAGGATCCAAGGACAGCATAGCACTCTGTAAGGCCTTCTCCCCCGGCGGGCAGCGACATGCTGAGGCTGGCGGCGTCAAAGTGGCGGCCACGGCGGGCGTGCACCCCCATGATGCGCAACGCGCTGCAAGCCAAAAGGGCTGGGTCGCCCATCTTCGTACAATGATCGAGGAGAACACCCACTGCGTCATGGCTATTGGAGAGTGTGGCTTAGTGAGCGAATAAGCAGCGTGTGATGGGCTTATACGACTGAGAGGCTAAGTATGTATCTCACCATCAACGTGCAGGACTATAATCGCATGTTCTCACCTAAGCAAGTGCAGCTCGACGTCTTTCGCGCGCAAATGACCCTCGCAGCACAGGTTAGGTTGCCGGTATTCCTCCACTGCAGAGACGCATTCGAGGACTTTGCTGCCATCCTTGCTGAGCCAGAGTACGCATCCATAATAAAAGTTGTGCATTGTCATACCGACTCGGATGCAAAACACCTCGACACGCTGCTGCAGCTCGGCGTGTACGTCGGAATCACCGGATGGATCACGGACGACCGACGCGGTCGCGAGCTGGCTGAAATCGTTGGGCGGATACCGCTCGAAAAGCTCATGATTGAGACGGGTAAGTCCAGCAGTCTAGAGATCGTGGGTTGCAACATCCGCTCGCATTATTCTCTGAAATGCATTCCCGCTGTCCGTGCATACCTATCAGACGCGCCTTACTTGCTGCCACGCAATATGCCGCGACCCTGGCCGTCAAATAACGAGCCGGCATACCTGCCGTGGGTGCTCAAGAAGGTGGCCGAGTGCTACGGGATATCGGAGGTGGAAGTCGCGAATGCAACAACGCACAATGCCAAGACTGTGTTCAAGCCTCGGCCTAGGCAATCAGCAGCTCCGCCACACTGAGAGCGCCATCGATGCTGTGACTGTATCAGGAATGCATGATGGTTATGATGCATGCGTATTAAACTTCGCAGCAAGATTGTCTATGGCTTTGGCCAGCTCCGAAAGCGCTGGCTAAAGCGCCGCCGGCTCCTGGGCTGGGCTGGAGGATTCCCCCATTGACTGTAACGGCCTGTCGTTCATAATATCCAGCCAGTCATCCGCAGTGACTGCGTCTTGTGGTATTGCTGTGATCTTTTCGAGCACTACTTCAGCTTTCTCTTGTGGGTTTGATATTGCCGTCTTGAAGCTTGATTCGTGTGCTTCAGAGCTTGCAGGTGGCTTCTGATCCTCAGGGGTCTGCTGAACATCTGCAACGGCGCCCGCCGCAGTATTTGAACGCGCGCTTTCAGCCCGTTTCATTGCCTCCTGCACTGGCGGCATGCGAGACAGGCGACTGGCGAGCAGCTCATCTGCCATGAGATGAACCCAATCCGCCCGCATCTTGCTTGGTAATTGGGCGGTACTGCTGTCTGCCCCACTTGCTCGTATCGCAGCCTTTTGCGCCCCATCCGGTAAGGTGTCCGGTCCAAACACTGCTGCCTTTCGGAACGGCTGTAGATCCTGCCGTACGAGCCCTTTGTTGTGGCTCTCAAGCAATTGAGCAATGGTAGCAATCTGCTCGCTGTTGTTAGCAATGACTTTCATCTGTTCCGCTTCTTGCTCCTGTCGCGCTACACCAGACAGCTCGGACAACTCCACTGGGAGCAGCATCGCAAGCTGCTGTATAGCCATGGAAAGCGATAGATAGCTTTCTCTCAGCAATCGGACGGCTGTGTATGATGTGAAGGCGTTGGCTGACCAGGGCAAAAGAAGACGAAGAATTCCAGGGGAGGGGTTCTTGGGCGATATGAGTATTCGCAATTCAACGGCGAATGATCCCATAGCCAGAAGTCTTGTCCACTAATGCATTCAGGCATCATTCAGCAAGTGGAACTCGCCCTGCGTGCCGCCCAGGTGTGAAACACTCACGAATTTGTTTTGCCGGCTCCCATTGAGGTACTGCACTGCCCAATACATGCCTTGATTCACTGCATACCAGACAAGCGACTGCTGTAGACCAGTTCTCATGTACTCGCGCAACGTGACGGCCTCACTCCACGTAAGAACTTCAGGTCCGAAGCTGAGCAAAAAGAAATCATTAGCGCATCAATTAAATCATAACGATGGTTGATTCTCAATGCTTGAACATACCGATCATACGCGGCCCTTTTGTCTGGATCTGAAAGCAGTTCAACTGCGCTCCGAATCTGCATGAACATATTCGCCGCATTTGCATCTCCACTGAACTCTGCCTTGTCTGGGTGGTAGACTCTCGCAAGCAGCCTGTACCTCCGCTTTATCTCCTCCTCCGTTGCTTCCGTTCCGCTAGGAAGGCCCAACAGGCCGTAATGATTGATCGGGGCATTCTGAACGGTCTGGAGAATATTGTGTCCGAGGTAGAGCAGGATCACCGCTGCCCGAGCCCGATTCGCATACGTTTGTTGCTGCTGCGGAGATTTTGCGGGAAGCACAATCCCCGTCGAGATGAGGATACGCAGCAGGATGTTGCTTAGAATGGGTGGCAACAGCGACCACGCAATCAGCTGGCCAAAGAGCGACTGCCCCGCCGTCAACGAGAACCCCGACATTTGGAGGTCGACCACGCTTCGACACGTCAGATCTTTCTGCTGCTCTTCAGCATCGCACGGTCGACATATCACGTGCTGGTATTACTAAGAGCTCGCAACCGAATCTAGGAGAATAGCTGTCGTCCCATCGAAACGCCACGCAAGGTCGCAAAGTCACCCTGTCGCAGGTTGTCGAGGGTCGAGTGTTGACGACTGGACCTATATTTCGTTGGATGATCAGTTGTTTGGGGCGATTAGGAGAGCAATTAAGCAATTACGTAATTATCTATTGGAGTCTTTGTGTTGATGCCACAGCATAATGCAGACAAGCGCCTTTCATCTCGACATCTTGGCCACAGGTCCGTGAGGGCGGTGTGCACGATTGGCCGTACGCATTATTTCATTCAGCACCTCTGCAATGCAGAGAACATGCTATTCCGTGCTTTCTGCACAATTAGAAGAGCGCTTGCAAAAGCGTCCGGCATTCTGAGATCGAACACGAACCTGGAGGCGAGTGCGATGTGCGGGGTCATCACTCCCACCACCACAGTTGGCTGCACACAATAACGTCTCCGACCCAAGGGCAGTATCTCTTTTCGGTCCCTTTGGTATGGTACACGCTGCTTCCAGCAGAATGGCGTAGGTACGTGGCGATTGAGGCTGTGCCAGTTATTCTGGTGCCTATCGCGCTGTCCTTGTTAAGGATTCGCCTTCGATGGTCCGGATTTCACACACTTCGACTGGCGCTTCTTCCATTCACCCTGTACACCATTCTCTGCATCCGTCTGTGCTTCAAGTTCTTTCTCCTGCCAGGAGACTTTGTGATGGGTATGTGGCCGGCACAACTGGCGATGCGAACATGCGAATGGGTAACTTTGGAGGCGCCGAAGCCTCCACATCAGGGACTCGCTCAATCGGAACGGAATGCGAAGAGGAACAGCCCTGCAGATCGAGAGGTCCCTTACTCCCAATCTTTATTGCCGAATAAAACGTGTTCATAAGCCTTGCCATACTGTAAAGGCGTGATCGGATTTGACAAAGCTGGTCGGACGCTGAAAAGGATTCTGTACGGGTGGCGTGGTACACCGCGGTCGACGCGCTTGAGTGCTCGGTGATATATCCAGGATAAACCCAGTTGCCCGCGCAAACCCAAATGCTGGGATACGGTGTGCTAGATAAAGCATTCTCCGTAGCAGTTGCCCGTATTTTAGTGAGGCCAAGGGGCTTTCAGGAGAAACATTCAAGCTGATTGCTGATGGTACTGACTGCCGCGAATTCAGTTGCTTTCTGGGGGGCATTTATGATCAACATCGGGTAAGCTTACGTCTCTCTACACGTACAATGACTGCGGACTTACCGAGCACATGGCGAGATTTGGCAGGATATAAAATATTTGCCTTGTGGTCTGGAGTTGTCGTCCTTTTACTCGCGGACATTGATCTGAGACCGTAGGAATCGTCGCCTGTCCACCTCCCATGGCCAGTAACATCAGTCGGAGGCCAATGAAGTCGGCATTGGTATCTGATCTTCCGTGAAGCATTACGCTATTATGCATTCGACCTAGCCTATAAATTAGCCCAGTCAGCCTTGGGCAAGCCCATTCCTCGAGCTTTTGGCCTATTCGCCACATTTATGCTCAGCGGACTGGCCCACGAACACGGGCAGGCGTGCATGCCAACGCGAGGGTCCGTCGAGCATGCCTTCGCCCCGACGCCTGGATTCTTCATGCTCCAAGCTGGGCTCGTTATACTTGAGCAGTGCTTCCTCAAGCTTTGCAGCCGCTGGCATGACTTTTGACGTACACGTCATGCTGATTTTTGGAGTGATTCCAATCAATGTGAGCGGCTGGAAGATCGACATGACCTCATACTAAGATGTGTACTCACATTGCACTCCGCAACGTCTGCAAACGCTTTGGCTCAAATACGGAATGGGTGAAGGCTCCTTGATACTGCAATCCACACGACCGCTTGTTGACGCTCTGATCGTTCTAGCATAGAAATTATAGAACACTTGCTTAGAATCGTCACGCGGTAATTATTCACTTCCCGCAGCAGGCATAAAGGCGCATCCGTCCAGTTTTTGACGCTTGGCCGCCCACGCACGTGCTTTCGCAAGTTTGTCTGGTTTTGTCTTAGATTGGCCTGGGTTCGAAGACCTCGTTACGAGTTCTGCATCGCTGTCACTGTCACTATCGTACTTGTCGAGCAATTTCGAAGGCTTCCCTAGCTCCATAGAAGGAGATGTATTTTCATAGGGAAGCAAAAGTTGTTCACCGCGCTTGAGCCTTTTCCATTCGTCCGTCCATCTTGCTTTTGAGCCCTTTCTCAGGAAGGCAAAGCGCATGTCAGAGCCGTGGTTGGAGAGAATGCGCATCTCTAGTGCGGCCGGATTGGGCGAATTTCGAACTGCAGCGGCGGTCCGCTTCATCAAGTCCAGCTGTTCCTGTGTGAGCTGGGGAGATGGTCGTGACCAATGGCCATTCACTTCATGTAATCGATGATCCCCGGGCTTACCAGATTTTCCGAAGCGAGTCTGCGCTCCTCGTCGGCCTTGATTAACGCCTCCTGCTGGTCTCGTTGCTCGACGCGATGCTTGTGATCTATCTCAATTCGCCGCCTCAGCGCGTCTCGAAAGTAGTCTTCCGCCTCATCGTCGTCCAAAAAGAATGTATCCTCCGCATCAGATGGCAAATCGGACCAGCCTGTTGGTGATTCGAAAGAGACTAGAAGCGATGTCGCGGCCTCAGCGCGAGAAGGGGATGCGAAAAGAAGAGCGGCATCAAACCTGCAAAGGTGAAGAAACAGATGTAACGAAGGTCAAAATCGGTTCCATCGCTAATGGAGAAATCACTTCTGCGAATTGCGTTGCACCTGTCTGTAACGAGGCCGGCGCGTTCCTCGTCTCCGTTCTGCCCATGTTGCAATTGGACCGGTTCGGCCGTAGAAGCAGGTATCGTCGAGGCCTCATATGCTCGCAAGCGAAAGCCATCTTCGCCTTCAGAAGGGGGGAGCATGAGGTCAGACGCGCAGCTCGAAGCAACCAATAGTCATCCGTTGCGCCCGGGAGCTCAAAACAAGGTGGCCAGAACCGGCTTATTGTGTCGATGCATCTATGACGAACGGCAAGCATGATAAGCCTGGAAAGAGGTTATACTCCTGCATTAGACATGGTGAGCCATCTGGTGGCTCCGCCGCAGCTTTATTCGTCCACTGTACCAAACAGCAGTCATAACTCTATTTATGGAACTCATGACAACATAGCTTGGTTGTCGGATCAACAAAGAGTAAATATATGATACAAATCTAGGCAACAAAGCTCAGTGTAGCTGAGAACAAGCGTCAACATGAGCAGTTCTCTCTGGCATAGGAAACGTAGCCACCAGGATCTGCGGCAAGGGAGATGATCCCACTGCGCCCTTCGTTGGGTAGCGTGCCAGGTAACCTGTCACCAGGTCTGCGCTGGCCCGCATCTGTCTTTTGCCACAGCGAAGGGGTGGAAATGATCTGTGCAAAGCATGGACATCGGCCTCTCAGCCCATGTTCATAGCTTGGTGTGTAGCAACCTCATTGCCATGGTGAACTCACCTTGTTAATCAATTCGTCGAAAGCTCCAGACACATTTTGCCCCTTCTTCGCACTCGCTTCCACGAAAAGACACCCTTTGGACTCTGCGAAAGCTCGACCCTCCTCAGTAGTGATGACGCGTGATGACTCCTGCAAGCACACCGCGAGGGCAGATGAAAGGTCAGCGACTGTCCCGAGGTTTTGCATGTAGAACAGGCACGGACCTTGTCAACCTTGTTACCGACGACAATCTTGACAATATCTGAGCTGGTCGAGAATGTCTCAAGCTCGTTGAACCACATGGGTAGGCTGTTGAAAGTTTCGCGTACAGTCACATCATAGACTGTCCATAAAAAGCAAATGATCAGCGTGCCTTTCGATTTCCTGTTATCTGCCCGGTCACTAACCCATGATGACACCCTGAGCTCCTCGGTAGTAGCTGCCGACCAATGAACGAAACCGCTCTTGTCCAGCCGTATCCCATATGCTGAGCTTAAACCTTCGCCCATTGACTTCTATTGACTGTGTAAACGCACACGGGATATAAGTCAAAAGCGGCTTCTGTACGAGATGCTCTTAACGGACCTTTTGCTTGTAGTCCACGCCAATAGTCGCACTGGTCTCCTCCACCGGAAGGAACTCATCATCTGCGAAGGTACGACAAAGAGATCAGCTAGGTCATCTTTGCCCAAGAGAATTGAGGGCGCTTACCGGTGAACCGAAGAAGCAGAGATGACTTTCCAACCGCTGATGACTGGGAGTTGCAAGAGTCGAGCGGTCAGTGAAGCGGTCAACCGCACTTTACAGCTGTAGAAGCACAAGGTAGCACTAACGCCAAGCAACAAAATCTTCAACGTCGGGATATCGTTCGCCATATCTGCAGTTAGAGCGCTTCTTCTGGCCCCGTTTCTGTTACACGGATCCAGGGTGCCAGGGTTAAGAGCAACGAGACTTCCCTCAACACCTCAACCTGGGGTAACCTGATTCAAATCAGCTGAGCCTGGGAGTGTGACGTCGAACTCAACAGTCAACTGAACTACGCTGTTTGTGCTTGGGTTGCAGTCCTCTGTCGGCGTTCTCTAGAGTCCAATCAATCTCACTAGCCTTCAAGTTGCGGCTCGCGCTCCATATCTGTGAGACTGAATTAGAGACTCGGCACTGTCATTCTAATGCTGTTATAATCGTATTGTATGAGAATGAACTCATCACTGATTCTCGACTGCGTGATCAACCCTAGTACGGACGCGATCGTGCATGTCATCATATGTATCACAGAACTCCTATCCACACCGCCTCTGGGTACGGACGGCCTTGACTCGCCTTCCATTGCCCGAGGTGAATATATATACTTCTGAAGTTAAGCTTATGAAGGGTCGCAGCATTTGGACGAGTTGAACTTCTTCTCTACCTGGCCTTTGACTCATCGAACTTCTTTGAAGGCCTCGGGATGGCATGCCTTGGCGAAGTCCTCCAGGATCTGGCTCCCACATCGTATACTCACAATGTCGTAGCTCCATATCTTCTGTTGCGCTGGTGATTGCCTTTCGCTGCAGAGTGGCTACCAGCTCGCCTGACGGAGGCTGCCTCACACACTTGGGTCTTGCAAATGTAATCTCGCTGCTGATGACATTTCGCTACAACGGGAGCATGGTTCGTTGAAACGATAACCGCAAGGTGAGGGTGTTTCAAGGGTTTACCCTGGCGACCTGAGCATTTAGAAATACTGTGGCCGATTGACGAAGTGGATTTCTTCCTCGCCTAAGCTCTGGAAGTCTTTGAAAAGCTCACTGAAATCTCTTATGCGCATTTCAGGCGGGTTTCTTCT